TCCTGTGACTCTGTGAAAATGCATGCTTGATACCATTGTTACCGTCTATGGGAGTGCTAACTTGGGTGCCTATATAAACTGCAAGCCTTGTGGAGATCACATCTTATCCTTCTGTCTGATGCTTTGCCCTTATGTTTTATGCATTATGCCCCTATACTTCTTTTTTGCATCTTCCCCCAAGAAATAAAGAAACATGCAGGTGAAATATGACTGAGTCAGTTAGTCCCTCCTCCCCCTCAGATCTCTTTCCCAAGCCAGTGTTCACTTGTCATAGACGTCCTGTTCTGAACTCTAAGGGAGTGCTGAGGCTGGTACTCAGTAGCTCCCAATACTTTCCTCCTTCTGAAGTTTCTTCAATTATTTTTTGCAGTGTGTTGTATGACATACTTTTCCTGGGGAGACACAACATAGACATATCTACTCATCCCAGACAGGAGCCTGTGACAGACCAAAGTAATGACTGTAGTAATGTCCAATTTGGTAAATAATGATGTCTTAGTCACTCTTCAATTGCTGTGAGGAGACACTGTGATCAAGGCAATTCTTATAAAAGCAAGCATTTATTGGGGACTTGCTTATGGTTTCAGGGGTTCAGTCTGTTACCATCATGAAAGGGAGCATGGTGCCGAAGAAGTATCTGAGGCAGAAACATAGACTGGGCCTGGCAAAGCCTTCTGAAGCCTCCAAGTCCACACCCAGTGACACATCTGCTCCAATGAGGCCACACCTCCTAATCCTTCTAATCTTATTCAAAGAGTTCTACTCCCTGGTGACTGAGCATTCAAATAGATGACCCTGTGGGGGCCATTCTTATCCAAATCACCACATTCTACTCTCTGGCCCCTAGAGGCTTGTAGTCATATCAAAATGCAAAAATACATTCAGTACAACTTCAAAAGCCACCATCATCTCTCATCATCTGAAGTCCAAAGTTCTAAGTCTCTTAGAGCCAAGGCGATCTCTTAACTGTAAAAGCAGACTATGGACTTCTCACGCACAGTGGCACAGGGTATCTCTTACCATTCCCGCAGGGAGGAAAGGGAAAATAGCGAGTCAACACTGGACCAAAGCAAGACCTGAAACAAGCAGGACAAACTCCAGATTCTGCATCTCCATGTCTGATGTCAAGGTGATTTTCAGATCTCCAACTCCTTTCAGCTTTTCTGACTGCAACACACTTCTCGATCTTGGACTGGTTCCACACGCTGTATGTAGCTCCTCTTGGCAGGTATCCCTTGACTTTGGCATCTCTAGCATCCTAGAGTCATCGACGAAAGACTTTACCTTTACAGCTTCACAAAATGTTTTCTCCGGGCCTTCATGCCAGGACAGGCCTGACACATCCTTGACCTCAGTGGCTTCCCTTAGCTGAGGAGGGAGATTCCATAATCCCTTCCTTGTATCATTGACTCTAAAGTCAAACTACTTTGGCCCATCTCAGAGGCCAAAACTGCCCAGTTCTGCTGTTTGGTGGGGGCTGGAACATGGCTCCCTCTTTTAATTACATTTGCACCAGGTTTTGTAGGTGATGGTTTTGCTGACTAGATTTATGCCAACTTGACAAAAATCTAGAGATATCAGAAAGGAGGGAGACTCAACTGAGAAAATGCCTTCATAAGATCCAGGTACAGGGCATTTTCTTAATTAGTGATTGATGGGGGAGGGCCCAATCCATTGTGGGTAGCATCATCCTTGGGCTGGTGTTCTTGGATTCTTTAAGAAAGCAGGCTGAACAAGCTGGTAAGCAACACCTCTCCACGGCCTCTGCATCAGCTCCTTCCTCTAGGCTCCTGTCCTGTTTGAGTTTCTATCTGATTTCCTTCAATGAGGAATAGTAAGATGGAGTCTAAGGGAAACAAATTCTTTCCCCTCTAAGTTGCTTTGGTCATGGTGTTTCTCATCTCAGTAGCAGAAACAATGGTTTCCTTCATTGCTTAAGTTTTTCTTTGTTTTCACAAGTTGGAAGATCAGCTTGGTATTGTTCTGAGGTCACTGCTGCCTTTATTTCACTTAACTTTTCTTGAAAATTTTTATCTTTTTGAGCAATGAACTTACACTTCCTGGTGCTCCTTTTCTTCTCAAATTGTAGAGCTTGTATTTCTCTTTGTCCAACTTGCTCTTTTTTATTATAGATCAGCATCAGATGAATTACTAATAACCACATGACCCAGTCAATATTTGGCTATCTTGAAATCTCCTTGTACACAAGTAATCTAACTCTTCAATTTAACCCTCAGGCAGATTTTTGGGGACAGGGACAGAAAACAGCCATATTCTTCAGTAAAATATCACAAGAACAGTCTCTAGGTCACTAATTAATGCTTTCGCTTGTGAAACCTCTTGAGCTGGGGACCCATAGTTCAGATTATGCTCAGCATTGTCTTTCATTCTCCTACTAGGATGACCCATTAAGTCTTAAAGCTTCCAACCACTTTTCTAGTTCATTAGTTCCACTGTCTTCCATTTCCTCCCATCCAACAGCAGGGTCAGGCTTGTCACAACAATACTCCACCCAGTCACTGGTACCAAATTTTGTTAGTTGCTGTTTTATTGCTGTGAAGAGACACCATGGCCACAGCAACTGTTATAAAAGGAAAGCATTTAACTGGGGAGCTTACTTACAGTTTCAGAAGCTTAGTCCATTATCATCACGGTAGGGAGCATCTCAGCACACATGGCACCGGAGAAGCAGAGAGCTACATACTAACACACACACACACACACACACACACACACACACACACACACACAGAGAGAGAGAGAGAGAGAGAGAGAGAGAGAGAGAGAGAGAGAGAGAGAGAGAGATTGATCTGGGTGGGGTGTGGGTTTTTGAAAACTTTAAAGGCTACCCCCAGTGACGCACTTCATCCAGGAAGGCCTTGAGTCTTAATCCTTTTAATTCTATCAAAGAGGTCCAGTCCCTGGTGACTAAGTTTTCTAATATATTAGCCTGTAGGAGTAGTTTTTATTGGGGTTACTAACAGGAACATAGGTGAGGGGTTACTTAGAGGGAGCAGGAATAATTTAAAAGCAGCTACATCTCCAGGAAGGCTACCCCCATGGTGACCACTCTGAAAGCTGAGTCCCTGGAGCTTTCTACACCACCTGCAGGTGTGGTCAAAACATCTTTGCTTTCCACAGCTGGTTGAGTCTCTACCCCTGGAAATTGTTTATTCCTTTTGTACTGTTGGGTAGGGGCCTTGTAAATCTTTAAGTTTTTACTCTCTTGGATATGTGACCTTTTGTTTCCTCTGGAGGCTCATGTGCCTTCGTTGCTATACTGGAAGGATGTTTCAATTTGGAGAAGGAAAATGCTTGTAGTACACTGTCCTCAAGGTTTCGCTGCACACGTCTTCATACTCTTGGTGAGATCTGTTCATGTATGTTGAATATATTCACACACACACCACACACAATGTGTAGTTAACATTCCCTCCAATTGTTATGATCCTACAGGTTGTCCTCACTAACTCTAGTCAGGTGATCCTATTGAAAGACCCCCGATTAGGGGAGACTCTCACTCGAGCCTCGGGATGACGCGAACCCCCCCAGTAACTCACGAGACCGTCCTTGCTGCAATCACACGAGGTTTAATGACAAGATGACAAGACGACAAGACGGGGACCAGTGCACTGGGGCCGAGACTCATAACCCACGCAGGGGAAGAGTTCGACCTCGAGTGACTGGGAGAAGTAGTTTTTATAGGAAGAAACCACACAGCCCAGTAATCCGAAAAGGGGGGCAGGGAGGATGTCATAGAAAACTCTGACAATTCCAGTGATGATTACAAAGGGGCAACTCCCTGCCTCTCAAGATCATTCTCAAGGTCGTAATCAGCTAGTTCCTATACCAATGATAATTACTAGGGGGAATCTCTCTGTTTCTCAAGATTACTCTCAAGATTACAATCTACCTTTATCTTCAGCTAGTTCCTGAAACCCTGAAATTGGTTAATCCTAGATTTCTGATTCTTCTCTTCCTGCTAGATTTTTGGCTCTGTTTTCCTGCTAGGGGGATCTGGATTTATCCAGGTCTTTCACTATCAGAACAACCAGTCAGGTACTGCTATCTAAAACCCTGTAATGAGTTACAGTTTCGTACGGAGTGAAAGTTAAAATCTCAGCAACAATGCTTAGTTCCCTACCAGGTCTGGCAGCTGGTGCCCAGCCTCGATTTCTTCTGTTGCTCTTCCTGATCACACAGCACATCTCTATCTTATGAGTCTGTTTTTCTTTTTCTTTTCCTTGCCGAGACATTTATGTCATGAGCTCCCTCTCATACTTCAGGCCTTTGTTTAAATGTCACTGCTGCATGAGACTATACTAAAGTCATCTCTCATCTCTCAGTCTTTCCTGTCCCCAGCATCGTGTTCTGATCCTCTGACCCTTCTCTAGTCCTCACAGCTCCCACATTTATTACCTTCTTGGTTCTCATATTATGTTCATTTATTATGTCTGTGTACATTGTTTGATTATATTATAAATGTACTGTTTGTCTTTCCCATCAATCACAAGGGTAACTGGTTAAATGAACAAGATATTCTGAGCAGAGGAACCACATGAGGAGGAAGGACATCTAATCACTCAAACGCTGGATATTTTCAAATTTTTCTGTATCCTGGCAGGAAAACTATTCTCAACCTGTGGGTCATGGCCCCCTGGAGGGTGACCATTACCCTTTCATACAGGTTGTCCATCAGGAAACACAGATAATAGCCGCACATGGTGGCACACGTCTTTAGTTGCAGCACTTGGGAGGTAGAGGCAGGGGGATATCTCTGAGTTTGAGCTTAGCCTGGTCTACAGAGAAAGTTCCAAGACAGTCACAGCGACACAGAGAAAGCCTGTCTTGAAAAACAAAAAAAAAAAAAAACGAAGAAAAAGAGAATCTTTACAAAAACAAGAAAACACAGACATTTACATTATGATTCATGACAGTAGCAAACAGTAACGTTACAAAGTAACAATGAAAATAATTTTATGGTTGGGGTCACTACAACATGAGGAACTGTATGTATTAAAGGGCTGCAGTATTAGGAAGGTTGAGAACCACTGGTCTAGAAGATCTTGGTTCCAAATTCTTTAACTGCACAAGTAGAGAACTGGGTAGTTTTTCTTGACTGTAAAGATTCTTAGCAAACCCAGAAGCCCATGTGAAAGTTGATGCAGAAACTTCCTGTTTCTATCATTTTCTCCAGCTTCTTCTCACCCTTTGTCCTCAATTCAAATTCATTATCACAGCAGGAACACTAAGTCACACCAAAGAGTATAGCATTGCTTTCCTGGTACAAGTGTTAGGCTTAGGGCCTAACACTTGTTAGTTTAAAGGTTTAAAACGACAAAATGCCCTTCACTTAGCCTCTCAATCTTGTACTCAGTGAATCTATCACTTAATTCAGGGCTCTTTTCTGCTTCCTGCCTCCCCCGATTTTTGATCATTCCCAAGAATGTTCCATTGAGTGTGTTTCTGTGTCGAGTTGACGGAGCCCTTGTTAACTTTAACCTAACTCTCCCTGCCTCCACTTCCACCTATTTCTCTCCCTCTTTGGTTCTGGAGGATTCTAGTTACGGTTTAGGTGCCCAAATTTGAGTTTAAAGTTGAAAAAAAAAATGAAGCAAATTATTTAGTTGCACTTAAACAAAGCTCTGAGATTTCTACAATGAAAATTGGAAGAATAAATAGAAAACAATGGCCTCAGACTTGAAATGATGTCATTTAATGGGAAGAAAGGAAGTGAAGCTGTCAAGAGGACACAGTGATTGAAGACTCTTCAGGGTGTCAGGCGGTTGGTTGGTCATGGCTCCCTGTGAGGATGGCGACCAAGAGAACAGTTTGTTCAAAGAAATAGTTTCCTGAGATTTAAGACATTGTTTAAACAATAAATACACATGTGTATATTTCTCCTTATATACATATATATGCCCAAATCTGTAAATATAACTAAGATGCATGCTGATGTGTAAGTATGTGTATAAATATATTTATAACATGTTATATTATTAATAAAAAGAGAGACCTTAGGAAGCATATGCAAGGCTGTGAAGGCGTCAATGCAATGTCCTTACTTTTCTTTATGCTCTGCTGTCTTATTGGGAATTCGAAATGCTATTGATGCTGTAAGAATCAAGGGCGTATTCATCTGAAAAATAAGAAAAGCATTTGTCTTTTCAAATCTCCAACTGTGTGTAACTAGATTGTGGCCATACAATGACATAAAATATTATCTTTCCAATTATTTTTCAAGAGAAGTAATCACTCGTGCATTTTATCAATTCTTAAATATTCTACTAAAGTGAGTCGTGTGATGGAATGTATTAAATTCGTAAGGACAGACTGTTCACTGACTCCTTGGTAGACTTTCATGAGCTGACCTTCCACGGGACATGTCACGGTTTTGAAACATAATCCATTATGTTTTTCCTATAATGGTTTTCCCTTCAATTCTTAAGTAAAAACCATAGAAGCAGCATTCAATAGTAAATCTTTGATTTGGTAACGACAACAATGAAAAAGGCTTGGAAGGTTAGCAACATTTATATTTCAAGTTAAGGATGAGTCTTTTCACAATTCATCAAAGAGATTTTAAGTGTTAGGATACCCTGGGAACTGGCACAGTCAGAACTCAAATCATGTAATAATAATAATAATAAAGCCATCACTTGATCACCTTTTGAAGACAGAGTGATGATTTGGGGAATGCAGGGGCTCAGAGGGTGAGCTTCAGCCATGTTCAAGGCTGGGAAATGGTTGCTTACCTTTCTCGTAACTGTAGACCGTGACGGGGGCGGGCTGGATGTTGGACACAATGTTGGTTTGCTCAACAGAGAAGGTGAAGCTGGTTGGCGCCATGGAAACCTATGAAGACACAAATGATCAGAAAGTCGTAGTAGGTCTGAAAAAAGAAAATTACTAAGAATCTTACCCTATAAGCATGTCATCTACCTGACTAAAATGGAAAGCCCACCACTATCTCATACAATAGCAAAATAAAATAAAAAATAAAATAGCAAAATAGTTAGCTGATGTTAAATCATGTAAACACTTAAGTCACACTGCTTAGCTGTGTGTTAGAGAATTGTGAACTACTATATGATTCAGAAGGCCTACTCGTGAGTATGCGTCCAAGACAAACCATGTTATTATCTTGAAAAGGCATTGCCACACTCACTTCAACATTGGTCACAATAGCTAAGGTACAGAAATAACTCAAAATAACCCATGTTGATACAGACAGAAGCTGTGGTATGTGCACAACAGGAAATTATTGGGGGTTTTAGAAGGAGGATGTCTTTTAGCATCAAAGTGGAAGTCTGTGAGGACAGGGAGAGCCATTTTCCTTCTGGGGTGTGGTTTCTGGTAGGTTGACCACGCCACAGGGGACGGTTCCATACCCATGTGCGTATGGGTAGCACTAATTAGACCCAGTGAGTTATTAAAAAGAGGACATGAGTTGGGAGGGTGTGTGGGTGTGTGTGTGGGTTCCTGGGAGGAAGTGAGGGGGGATAAAGAGTAACTATGATCAAAATATGTCATATACATGTACAAAACTCAGAATAAATTTTATATTATTATACTAAATATTATACTAGAAAGGTAATTATGTGGTGAGTATTGTTAGTTTGTTTATAATAACTTGCAATGCATATGTATATCAAAATGTCACCACATACACCTAGATATACATTGTTTAAACAAAAGTCATGTTATCCTTCATTGGCGTTCAAGCTGTGGAATAATTAATTATTCGTGTCTGTAAATGACTACATTACATGCATTAAGGAATGAAGATGCCTGTAAACACGAGAACTATCTAGTCAGGTAACCATGACTTACATAAAATAGCTTGTTAATATAAATGATATGATTAGTGAGGCAGAACACCGACTATATTCAGTGTCTCATTAAAACAATAAGCTCTTTCACACACATCTATAATAAATAGAAGCTTTCAAATGCCCTTCAGAAAACAAAGCCGTGAAATAAAGCATGAAGAAAAAGCTGTTGTTTCTGGACTTACATTTTTCAAGTAGAAAAGAACGTGGCCATTCTTTACGTCTGTCTTCATTACTTGGCCATTGTGTTTAAGCTTTGAAGAGATTGACGGGAAGGGATGAGGGTCAGGCATTAGAATTCCTGAGAATCCCCTCTAGAAATGAGCACTGTGCCTTCTATTTAGGAAATGTCCTTTGTACCGCAGGGTTTCTGTGAGTACACGAGGGAACTGGCTAAAGAAATACATGCTGAGCAATGGGCATAATGACTGTGCTGCTGCAGAGTAAGAATAGAATTCCTCCAAACACGAAATATGAAGACGTATGCTTGGATGAAGAATTCCATTATTTAGTATGATTTTTTTTTTACATTCTCACTATGTCTGTGCCAGGGAACAGGGCCATTCCCCTTTACCTCCTCGATGGATGAGAGGACAGGGGTAAACCCAGAGAGCATCTTCACATCCACAAGGACCATACCGGAGCTTTCGTGAGCCCCCGTATACCTGAAATGAAAAAGCAAACCTATTTCTACATGAATTTAGAAACATGAGCTCTCTCAGCTAGGATGGCAGGTGTACAGATGCACCAATAAGCTCAGGTCTGGAGATCTGGCAAAAGTTGGAAGGGAAAGGTCTGGAAAACTTCATTCTCTAATGTCAAAGAATAATCACAACTGAGTCACAGTGTACAACACAACATTAGCTGGTGCAGATGATGAAGTCTGTGGATACAAACTCTCTTTGGTCTCACAAAGTCAGTCAAATGTCTTTGTTTATGTTAGGTAGGTTCCTGTCAGCCTTAAGTTTGCCCAACACCAGAGGAGGTCTTCCTCAATGTTGATCTGTCAGCAGGGCAACAGCTCACCCACCGGTTATAGCTGAGGAGCATGAACCATACATGTGTAGACCTTGCTGAAGGTCTAGCTGCTAAACCAGGTTCTGAAAAGGCAGTGACATGCTTGTGGGGTAGAATATCAGCCCTCAACACGAGACATGCCTGTGGGGTGGAATATCAGCCTTCAACATGTGCCTTGCCACAGTCACCATCACTCAAACTTGGTTTTCTTCAATCCTAGTTGAAATAATTCTTTGATTTAATAAGGAGTGGATATCAAAATGTTCCCCTTACACGAGGGTCACTGTGAGGTTAAACTTTGTCTGGAATACATCCGAAGAGTTGCTTTCCTCCATTTCCACGGAGAGAGAAAATCCTGATGCCTTCTTAGGAAGTGGCACATTGTACCTAAGGGTAGCCTGGAAAGAGAAAATCATGAAAATCACCCTGCAGCAAGAGCTGAAGGACCCGTCATCTGTGCTCCACCACCAATGTGCTTTTTGTCATTGTCATCAGGGAACCAGGATAAACTAAGTGTAGTTTCCATGAGACATAGCGTGGTGATGTAATTTCGTGAGGACAGAACATAAGACACAGCGTGGTGATGTAATCTGACTAGGCTAGAACACTTTTTACCAGCGGCATTCCTCAAGAAACTCCAGCTGCCAGCTATGCTCATGCAAAACTGTCAAAGAACAAATTTAATTATAAAAAACTTTAATTTGTATATCTGCGCTTGTATGAGCATGCATTGTATGGAGAGAGAGAGAAAGAGAGAGAGAGAGAGAGAGAGAGAGAGAGAGAAGCTAGACGGGATCAGGAAATGGAAAGCAGAGCTCTTATTTGGGAGGGATAAAGGACCGTAGGTGACATGAAAGGGGAGAAAGACAACAAAACATTGTGAAAATGCTATCATGAATCCTATTACTCTCCATGCCAACTTTATTGCTTTTTTAAAGACTTAATTATTTTATTTTATGTGTATGGGCGTTTTGCCTGTGTGTATGCTCCTCATGTGTGCAGTGCCCAAGGAGACCAGAGGAGGGCGTCAGATCTCCTGGAACTGGCATTGCAACCACCATGTGGGTGCTGAGAATCAAACCTCTAGAGGAGTAACCAGTACTCTTAATCACTGCATCATCTCTCTAATCCCTGTGTGTTAACTTTGCAATGAATAAAAATGTGAATAACCTCAGGGTAATATATCCTGCATTTTCTGCTACCGATTATAAAAATGTGAGGGAAGTAGAGATAATCACAGAAAGAGTCAAATGACAAAACTCTTCACACGTAACTGGTCTGAACTCTCACAGGCAAGCTCAGTTCTCCCTCTGTGGAGGGTTTCCGTTACCTGGATGAACGCACAGCCTTCTCCTTCTACATCAACCGTGTATTGCCCATGCCTTGCGGATAATTTCGAGCGCTGAACTAGAAGGCGGTTATTGTTGTCAACAGGGAAAACCTCCTCAGAGTCTTCAGTGCTCAAGGTGACAGTGTTTTGAGAGTTAGAGCCAGTTAACTTCATGTATTGGGTTAGGGCGAGAAGGCACACTGTGGTGTCCTGCATGAAACAGGGGTGCAAGGTCAGGCACTGCTGACTGTGGGACTTTCAGCCCGTTTCTGCAAACATTCCTAAAGCTGGTGATGGGATAAGAAACAATGCCCGGGGCAACAGAGAATGTGTGAGTTGTTGTCAATTTGTATTCTTTAACAAACCTTAATTTACTTTTAATTTTCTAAAAATAATGATCCCCACTGCTGAAAATCATGACAAATCTCATCAGAAAGTGGAGGTGTGCTAAGTGTGATGACTGCACCTCTGTCTCCTCATCTTCAAAGAGGGACCAAAGCCAGAAGAGGGTCTCTGGCAATTCAACAGCCTGCCATGTTATGGGGACTCAGCCTTATAGGAGGAGAGAAAGGGACATTGTCTTTGTTAAATGAAATTCTCCTGACTTTCAATTTTTCCTGCTAGGAAAGGATTCCATCATTACTCATGGCCATTTATTTTTCTTGTTTTCTGTTCCCCAACCTTTGCTTTCTCTGATGTGGAGATGACAGAAGCAGAGGGAAATCTTTATTCCTCACTGACATGTGGTTTGACCATTGTGCCATCAGATAGCTACTGTACCAAGACTCTGCTCTTACAGAGAAAATCTCTTCTACACTTACATTCTGCTTTCCAGTGTGCAACGCAGACACAGAAAGCTTGAATTCCTTAAAACTCATTTATCATCTAAAATAAAGTCTCCTTGCGAGAGTGTCTAAAACACAATGGCGAGCCCATGACAAAATAAAACCGGATTCAGAATATCAAATGTGGGAATTGGAGATATGGCTCAAATGTTAAGGGCACTGTAGCTCTTGCATTGAACCTAGGTTCGATTCCCAGAACCCACATGGTGGCTCACAACCATCTGTAACCCCAGATCAGGGTAATCCATCAGGCATGTATGTGATACACACACATGCATACAAAACATTCTTACACATAAAACAAAATAAATCTTTAAAAAGAATATCAAGTATTCTCCACTCCAGAATCTATGTTTTTATGACCATGATTGCTGTCATCTAGACTGGCATCTTTGGCATTAAACACATTCACCTCCTATCAGGCTAATCACCTGCGTGGCAGAGAAGCCTCCATGGGAATTCATCCGCTGGGCAAGCCACTGCACAATCTTACTGGCATAATCAAGGTCCCGAGTGACCTGAGAAATGACAGCCAACAGCACATAGCATGTCATCTCAGTCTCGCCAGAAAGTGCCGGAGGAGTGAAGGCTGGAGAGCCTGCTTGGCGTTTCTCTTCTTTTTCCCAATATATCACATTATCTGAGAAAACAGGGAGAAGTCAGTCTCTATAAAAAGAATTTTCACAGTCCTAAAAACAAGTTCCTATAAGGTACCCATTCTGAGGGCACAGGTTCTATTCTTTGGATTCCTATTGTGGCCTGAATTTTAAAATCATATCCTGAAGCTTTGAGCTCAGAAGGTGACTGGATTTTGGGATAGGTTCTCTAGAGGGATGCTATAGCTAAGATGAGTTTTCTAAGGTGCCACACAGTCTAGTTGGATGGTGAGTATGAGAAGAGGAGACATGGACTTACAAAAGGGCGCCAAGGCTATCCACACTCAGAAGAAACACCACATGAGGGCAAAGTCCCCACACTTCATGCTGTTCAGATATTAGACTTTTACCCTCTAGAGAAAAAAAGTGTTCTGAGGTTTAAGTTAGCCAGTCTGTGGCAATTTTCCATAAAGACTCTGAAAAATAAATATGGCGTCTCCTTGGGGTCATAAGAGGTTTCAGGAGTAATTATTATTGTCTGTGGTGTGCTCAATTTCCTTTACTTTGTTTGAGAAAAAGATTAGTGGGAAAGAGAAAGAGGGAGATTAAATATCTGATACTCTTTAAGACACGGGTGCTGACGTGTTCTGTGGGAGAAGCAGGAGCTTCTTGGTGGAGGGCGGATTCTGATCCAAGCCCTCACTGAGATCTGCACTTGGTTTTCAGGAGTTTCTGCCCTGGCAAAGGCAACTGGTAGTAAGACTTACTTATTTTTGTAGCCGATTGATCCAGGATCGAGAGTAAGGATTTCACTTGCTGTTCTTTTCCAGCCAGGGCAAACACGTAAGCCAGGATAGCTTGAGTGTGGCCATCGGTGACGCCCTTTGCGTATGCCTCCTCCAGGCAATAGAGACCATTGCGGAGGGCAGGAAACTAGTGGGGAGGAAGAAATGCTTGTAAGAGACCCTGAACATTGCATGAGTTTGCTGAATATATAAGCTAACCACTCTTGTAATGCACTTTACAATACACACGACATCTCTGAAGCACATTATGTGTACAAATCTATCATATATATTCATATACTCTATTTTCACATACAAAACTATCATATATATTCACACGATCTATTTTTCAAGCATCAGAAAAATAAATTTGGATTATTATTAGTATGGGGGAAACAAAGTTTAACGCATAAAGTGAGTTTTAATATTTTACCTATAATATAAACTTCTTCCATGTCACAAAACATACAATTGTATGTGTGTGGATGTGTGTGTATCCATGTGTATGTGCATGTGGCACGGTGCTCAGAGGATGGATCTGGCTGCCAACTTGAAGGCCACCAACTACCTCGTTTGGGACAATGCCTCTCTTTGGCTGGGGCGCAGGAATTATATTAGCCTTCCTTGCCAGAGGGCCCCATGGATCCTCCACTCTCTGTCTCCTCAGACATAGGATTACAGGCATGTGCCACCATGTTAACCTGCATCTATACACAGGTTCTAGGGACAGAACTCAGGTTCTTCTCATGTGTGTGAAGATCCTAAATGAGCGATCTCCCCAGATCACACACAGGTCTTTTAGACCTAATATGTTTTACTCTCGTGCTTCAAATAGAGGTTTGTATTTCAAGATACACTAATGACCTTGAAAGCACACGGTGTCTCCTTTAGGGACAGACTGGGTAAATGAGCAGCCTATGCACTGAGACCATTCTGAAAATGCTGCAGGGACTTGAGAACAAACTTCTCTGAGAGCATTCTTCTTCAGTGATAACTGACTTTGTTTTTGACTATGGGTCTTGCTGAATAGACAAGACTGGCCTCAAATGTCATGATCTTTTGCCTTGATTTGATGAACACTGGAGTTACCACTGAACACTTGTGTGTGCCCTCATGCCCGCCATAGAAGAGGGTCATAATCTGAAGTTTATGGCTGCAGTTAGGGAACATTTAAGCACCTGAGATCTTATGAAAACAATTTTTTTTTCATATGTGTATCCAACCTGGGCAAACCTCAGTCCTACTGGTGAACCAAAAGAATTTTGAACATCACCAGTTTAAAGGATGGTAATGGGTGAATTGTCTTGATATCTTTTCCCGTCTAAGAATTTCAAGCCATTCGGAAAACAGGTTCTAGCTAAGGTTCATTCAGTTAAGCGAAGCCAGAGATGATGGGAATTCATACACTGGAGTCGAATCCAACTTCAAGGAATGCCTCAATGACCTGTGCAGTGAGCGCAGCATCCTCTTCATTGCTGCCCTGAAACAGAGGGACAGTGAGCCGTCCAGGATCGCAGACCACGAAAGAGCAGCTGCTTCTGAATGGAGACTCACTGGGGAAAAAATGCTTGAACAAACATTTTTATTCATAAAAACATGCTAACCTGTAGTTTTTAAGTTAGAAAAATAGTAGTTGTGCTATCTGGGTGAGTTTCCATCAACACTCAATGGAATTAAGAAATAAAGCATAAGAATTTTAAACATACTTGGTTGTACATAAGTGTATAGTATTATGTGACCTGGTGTTTGGCCTGAATTCTGAGCAATGGCTCACATGACTGTTTTGTACTAATTTGAAGAAAGCAAAGAAACATTTTGCTGACGGGGTGAGACAGAAAGAAATGGTAGATATCGTGGAAATTCCTGCCCAAGCGGCAGTTACAGTAGTGTCCTACTCAGGGCTCTACCTCTGTGGGGAACACCATAACTGCATCATTTGCACATAATTGGTCCCCATAAGCTCATCGGGAGTGGTACTATAAAAAGCCTGGCTTTGTTGGAGTATATGTGGCCTTGTTGGAAAAGTGTGTCACTATGGGGGTGGGCTTGTAGGTCTCCTATGTTCAAGTTATGTTCAGTGTAGACAGCTCACTTCCTGATGCCTGTAGATCAAGATGTAGAACTCTCAGCTCCTTCTCCAGCACCATATCTGCCTGCATGCTGCCATGATGATAATGGACTAAACTTCTGGAACTGTAAGCCACCTCAATTAAATGTTTTCTCGTGGTTATGGTGTCTCTTCTCGGCAATAGAAAACCTAACTAAGCCAGTGACCAAGAGCAGCTTGGGGAAGAAATAGCTTATTTCACTTCACAGAATGTAGTTCCAGAAGTCAGAACAAGAACTCCGGGCTGAAGCAGAGGCCATGGAAGAACCCTGCTCAATGGTTTGTTCCCCAAAACTTGCCCTGGGGTGGGATCAGCCGCAAAGGTCTGGGCCCTCTCACATCAATCACTGGTTAAGAAAATGCACCACAGGCTTGCCCACAGGTCAGTCTAGTGGGGTATTTTCTCAGTTGAGGTTCCCTCTTCTCAAAGAACTCCAGCTTGTGTCAAGTTGATATAAAACTAGCCAACACAGTTATCAGGACTCACATAAGAGTATAGTGCAAATTAAAAAGAATTAAAATCACATGGCTTGCACCCTGATCATGCATAAAAATCCTTGGAGAAGATTAGCATTAAACCAGAGACTGTGAAGTTTTTGTTGTTGCAGTTTGGTTGGTTCTCATTTATACTGTGCTGTTTTACAGAGTCTCACTATGTAGCCTTGGGTGGCCAGGAGCTCCCTAGCAGATAAGACTGGCCTCAGTCTCACAGAGATTCACCTGCCTCTGACTCCTGAGTGCTGGTATTTAAGGTGTGGGCTTCCGCGCCTCACTTTTATTTTTTGAGGAGTTTCTCATATAGTGCACTTGTTAGTTGAAAATAACCTTGAATTTTTGCCTCTTCTGCCTCTCCTTCTCATGATTACAGGGATCTGCCGTTAAACCTGGTGCATGCCTGGTAGAGTTTGTGTGGTACTTAGGATTGAATTCAGGGCTTCATGCACATTGCAAGTATTTGTGAACGAAGTTCCCTGAAGGAAGTCACACCGGCCACTGAACTTTCTACAAGGCTCATTGACTGATTAACCAACCATCAGTGGTTGTGGGGTGGTCGGAATGTTGCAGGTCCAGAAGCTAGTTCAACCATCTTTAACCTCCTACATAGCCTTTCCTTGATCACCTCTATGTCTTACCTAACAACCTGTGACTAAGAGATAAAATCGTTTTGGAATATGAACTTAACCAATCCCTAGCTCCCACCAATGAACCGCTAAGAGTGTCTTCAGACATCCTCTGAGTCCTGGGGCCGAGTCTCCCTGCTTTGCTGTGACCACCTCGGCAGCATTTCCACCAATGCATTTGAAAAATTTTCTGAGTGATAACTTTATTTACTCTGTTACATAAAAACTCAATCAAATTCTTGCAAAGTTAGAACACGGAATTTGGGGCTACCTAAATCTGTGTTCCTGGACCATGGTCACTCATGCTGGGCTTCAGAATAAATTATCTCTTATTCTTTTTGAGGCAAGCGCTGGGTTTTTGGGTTAACCCGCTCTACTAGCCAAGCCACATTCTCAGCCTGTGGCCATGATTTAAACCTCAGGACTAAGGTACAGAAAGGAATTCCTCACACATTCAAGACCTGTTCCCGTCTGACTCCGAATTCCCAGAAGCTTTCTAGGCTGAGTCCCTTTTTTGTCTCCTCTTCCCAGTTTAATGATTACAGAATCCTGACTGTAGAAAGACTGAAATCTGAAGAAGGTGATCGGAAGACTCATGCAGGGTTATGTTTAGGTTCTGGTTAAACATTCATGAAGCAGCACTGATACTCGTGGAAAGGACATGGGGGACCTGTGACTTCAGCAGACTCAAAAGGCAAAGCATTCCCAAGAGGCAAGCACTCCTGATGAGGGAGGGCAACAGAGACAGATGACCCAGGGAAGCAGGGAAAGGACGCCTCATTGTGGGTCCCTTACCTCCCAAGCACTGTTGACAAGCTTGTCATCCCTCCCAAAGCACCCGTTCGGTCTCTGTTTTCTTGAAAGCCAGATTAAGGTCTGTTTGGGAACTGACTCTTCAATGAAAATATATTCCTTCATTTTCTCAAATGTCTTGAAAGTAAGGGCACTGAGCCTGTAATCAACAAAGCAAAAGTTAGAGGGAAAGACGATATCAGCCACTCAACAGGTTCATCAGTGTTGTTCTGTTCGGGTAATGCATTCCTACAACACTGTCCAGTGTTGACAGTTACTAGTCTTGATTGACAGTAGCCCTCTCACTGGAGTCAGTAAATATGATGATCAGCAAATCTCTAGAAATTAGAGCAGGTGGATTTTAGCCACCCAAAGGTCTGACTTTATGTTTCTGACATATACCCAGAAACAGAAGTGGTATGAGCTATAATTCGATGCCATGGGACCTTCTAGTTTCTTTTCCCTGAATGTAAATGAGACTGAGAGGCACAGAGTAAGATGTGACAGTTGCCATGGAGCTGATGAGCTGTGACATCTGAACTAACACATTTGGGGGTTTTGCTTTATTCTCTGTAAATCTGAGCACTGGCTGCTCTCGCCTTCTTGCAAGTCACGCTTAGAAAATAAAACAACCCTATATTATTGAAAACAAAGCTTTCATCTCTCACCATATGCTTCCTTTCTGATTGCTCTGGCAGAACATGTCATATGAACCATCGGAGTTTTTGAAAAACAAGTGCTTCTGGTAACCTAAAACACAACACAGAAGGAAGCTGCTGCTGAGCCTGGGAGAGAAGGAAAAAAACAACGCAGCCTGGGTGACTGCAAGCCCCTGGGTGTGTCGATGTGATTGCTTCAGTTTTGTTTCCCGAAACTTCAGGCTGTCTACCTCTGTGTACACAGAGAATGCCTTATTTAAAAGCTGTCTCAGGACTGTGCTTAGCAATCAGTATCCTGAGGTGGTTTTACTTCCCTCGGTTTTACCTTCCTAAAAAGAAAACCCAAACTGCATTTCCTCCTGGCCCTGTCCTCAATGTCACACTAGGTGCTACTTGTGTAGCTTCTTTCAACATCCAGATCCCGTCACTTCACTGCGTTGGAACACAGCCAAGCAAGCAGGCCTAGGGGCTGACGAATGAGTCATTTCCAGCCACTGTCCACAACCACGACAAATAAGACCTTATTGTTTTCTGTTACATGGGGGGGGGCTGGCTTATTGGGGTTTCTGTATCACCCGGTACCCCACAACCGGCAAGCCCCAAATAAAATCACACAGAGATCTCTATAAGCTATAAGTCAGCCCCCCCCCCATGTAACAGTTAACTACTACAATTTACAAATGAGTTTATTGATGCTAAACTCCATTACCACCAAGTTCCGGGGAGCATCTTGGAGGAGGAGACAGGAAGAATGCAGGAGCCGGAGGATGGGGAGGAGTGCTATGGAAAGCTGTCTTCAGAGCTGATGCTGCTATTACAACTGCAAGCTCGCAGCAGTTGTGGCTACTTGGACAAGATCTCCATATGGGCAAGCCAGTCAAAATCCTGGCATAGATGGGGTAGTGGCCTCCAGATGCAGTTCTATATTGAGCTATTGAGAGTGAGTTTTGCTGCAGGTGGGAGACTCATTCTTTTTTGAGGGTGTGGTCTCTGGTGGGTGGGTCCCTATGCCCATGCACATATGGGCTGTGCTAACTGGACTTGGTGGGCCATAAAAAAAGGACACAAGGTTGGGAGGGGGCATGTTGGGGAGAGTGAGGTGGGAGTTGAAGGGGAGACATGGGGTGGACATGACTCTATTTTATTACATGTGTATATGTGTGAATAAAGAAAATTTAAAATAAAGATGAGTTCACAGTTTGAAACTACAGTTCTACAACATTAGGTTAAATGATGGGCATAGATTTTAAAGTCAAAAGGAGCACACAGCTAGGACCCAGTGTATCTCAAGGGTTCACATTTGTCTCCGTCGCAACAATAGAGTAAAACTTATCACATTTGCATATCAGTTGCAATTGGTTTCACCTTTGTTGGCAGAAACTACTTATCCCTCTCACCGTTAGTTAAGAGAAGTAGAGCTCTGGATTTGACTTCTTCCGTCAGCTGCTGGGTCGCTCTCAGGTAGTCGAGTATGTAAGTGTCAGACACTAGCTGGGCAATGTTCTGCTCACCACACCCATAGGGCGTGAGGAGAAGGCTATCTAGATTCTGCATCGTGACTCCTAGAATGTCTCCTAAAGACAGAAAAGAAGAGTCATGCACTTATGTTAATGCTGAGCCGCTGCCTCGGCAGTAGGACCTGTGGCTATTAATGCATGGTGGGGGCAGAAAACATTTAAAGTTGGCTCTAAACGGTATAAACAGGAGGCTGGAGAGGTGACTTAGCTGTTAAGAGCCCTTGCTGATGTGGGATGCCCTTCTATATATGCGTTGCTTTTATTGGTTGATGAATAAAGCTTTTTTGGTCAATGGCTTAGCAGAATAAAGCCAGGTGGGTAATCTGAACAGAGATAAATATAGAGAGAGTAGGTGAAGTCGAAGAGATGCCATGTAGCAACCAAAGGAGAAAGATGCCAGAACGTTACCAGTAAGCCACAACCTTGTGGTGATATACAGATTAATAGAAATGAGCTAATTTAAGATGGAAGAGCTAGCTAGGAATACACCCGAGCCATTGGCCAAACAGTGTTGTAGTTATTATAGTTTCTGTATGGTTATTCGGGTCTGAGCATCCATTGTGGAGTCTCCATTCACACCTTGCTGTTCTGGAAGCAGGCCTGAATTCAGCTCCCAGTACCCATATTGGGTGGCTCACATCTGCCTCTAACTTTCCTTCCAGTGGAATCAACGCTTCTGGCCTCCTTGGGCCCTCCACTCACATGCACATGCTGTCCTGTACACACATAATTTGAAATAAAACATATAAACAAGCCAAAGTTTCCTAGAGGCAATCTAAGGGAGGTGGTTCCTAAGTGAGGAAATAGAGGGGCTTCGGGTATGAAATGTTCCTGAAAGGAGGAACCTCAGGAAGTGTGCCCCTTGCTGGCTTGCTTCTAATTTGTGGTTTTAGATACTGATGAAATACAAACTATAACCCACCCCTCTCCTGTGGACTTGAATGCTGATGATAGATGGATAACTACTTTTAGGAAACATACCTCTTTTTTTTTTAACCAAGAAAATCTCAGCATCACAACATATCATAATCTCCAAGAGGCTAATTTATATTATTTATATAGATTACTTATATAGAGGCTAATTTATATAATTCATATGTACAGGTCATACCATGCTCCTGTTTCCTGAGCATCTACCGTTACCAGCCAGCGGGAGTGCTTCCTAGAGATGCAGGTCTGGAAACTCCACGCTTTCAGATCCCACATGGAAACAGGCAGAAGGGGTGGTCTGAACACAGTTCCTGCCCTGATAGCTTAAGAAAGTATCTCCATTCTGTTATTTTAGAACTTATTTCCAGACTACCTCAATCAAGATTTTCAAATCACCACGACAAGAATTTGATAAACTCACCCACGACGGTGACAAAGGATCTGGCTGACCCTTCCACTACATCTCTTGGCAATTCCAGAAGCATTTGCTTTGAGACTTTAGTACCTGAAAGAAAACGCCCATACAAACACTGCAAAGACTTCCCTCTACAAGTCATGGTAGCAGGATTTTGGAACAGCTGTATTAGGAAGAAAAGGCCATTGGTTAGCTTTGCCTTTGGAGAAAATAAAATTGTGAATTTGGGACGTGAGGTGGCTCAGAGGGTGACAGCATGTGCCACCAAGCCTGACGATCTGAGTTCAAGCCCTGGGACCCACGGGTAGAAGGAGAGAAGGAACTCCTGTGAGCTGTCCTCTCACTTCCACACTCCCAGCGACGTGCAATGCACACTCACATGCGTGCATGCCCCCCCGCATTGTACACACAAATAAAGGCAATAAAAACTCTTTTTAAATAATCTGAGAATTTGAGTTAGTTTAGAACAGCAAAACATCCAGAAAAAAAATGCATACTTTGTCTGAAACAGTGGTCTCCAATTTCTATCAGTTCAGTACTTAAACTGTTTATGGAATAAAATGAAAGCTATAAGACTCAGCTCATAGAAGGAATGCTTAAAGACAGAGTAGACATTAAAACCAGATTATCACTAACCAGCTAAAATGATACTTATGATGGCCACAAATCAGGTAACTGAGGGCCAGTAATGAATTTACAGATGATTTCGTACCAAGAATATCAAAGTAACCACTATGCTAGTGATAGTCCATTGGTCAAGATTATGAGACAATCATAATAATCAAGATGGAGAAAATAGGCAGAGGTAGACTAATCTTATTAGACAAACAAATAAATGTCACTCATTAATGCACATTTTGTTTTCTAAAAATTATCTATCAATGAAGATAAAATGTAGGCCCATATTTCTATATGGCATGGCAGCCAAGCCATCAAGCCATAGGCCACACCTGAGATGGGTCACGTACCCTGCCAGGCAGGCTGTCCCTAACCTAACAAAAGTTCAGGATGCTTTTCTCCTTTCTTTGTAATTTGGAGGATGCCTTATAGAGATGCTGATTCAAGCCTATGTGACAGTTAGCATACAGAACAGACAGGTAGTTGTGGATGTGAGGAAAAACCATTCACCTGGTTACCTAGGAGACAGAATGCTAATGTATTTCCCCTAAATTAAGTTTTGGTATAAGGCTGTTTGGAGAATAAACGAGAGGAAGTCTTCAGGATGTGAACTCAGGATATTATGAGGGATCTCTGAGAATCTCCCTCCCAATGAAACCATGTGAGTCGTATTCCCGTCTCCCCCACGCCGGTCCAGGGAGAGATAGTTTATGTTGGGGTCTGGTAGAGAAATAATTTATGGTCCGGGCTAGCACCGGACCCCAACAATAAAACATGAAATAAAGTAACACCCCCAAGAGAAACTTATAATGCACCCAGATGCCGAGTGGGCTCTCGACTTGTGGCTTGTGTATAGGCTGAGGAGGTAAGCCTGCTGTGCTCTAGACTAACTGACCACGTGGAGAGCCCGCTTACCTTCTGTGCAGATAAGGAAACTCTGGCTTGTTTCTTTTTCAATACCTTCAGGCTGTTAGAGAGTAAAAAAAAAACAAGAACAGAATAATAAGTTGAACCATTTTTAGCTGAAGGAAAAAAAAATCAGTTACCAGAGGCATGACTGGCTCAGGGTTGTTCCTGAGAGCTATTTGTTGTCTCTGACTTCATTATGTGAAAGTTCGTGTACAGTACCAACACCCCTCTAGACCCACAACTCCCATAGGTTGTGCAAAGATAACTCTGTGTCATTGAGTGACACTTTCAACTGCTTTGTTGTCTGATCTCCAAAATATACAAAGAACTCAAGAAATTGGTCATCAAAAGAACACATAAGCCAATAAAAAAATGGAGTACAGACCTAAACAGAGAGCTCTCAACAGAGGAATCTAAAATGGCTGAAAGACACTTAAGGAAATGTTCAACATCCTTAGTCACCAGAGAAATGCAAATCAAAACAACTCTGAGATTCCATCTGACACCTGTAAGAATGGCCAAGATCAAAAACACTGTTGATAACTTATGCTGGAGAGGGTGTGGGGTAAAGGGAACACTTCTGCATTGCTGGTGGAAATGCAAGCTGGTACAGCCCCTTTGGATGTCAGTGTGGCAATTTCTCAGAAAATTAGGAAACAACCTTTCTAAAGACCCAGCAATACCACTTTTGGGTATATATCCAAAGGATGCTCAATCGTGCCACAAGGACATGTGCTCGACTATGTTCATAGCAGCATTGTTTGTCATAGCCAGAACCTGGAAATAACCTAAATGCCCCTCGACTGAAGAATGGATAAGGAAAATGTGTTACATCTACACAATGGAATATTACACAGCAGAAAAGAATAACGACATCTTGAATTTTTCAGGCAAATGGATGGAGCTAGAAAACATCATTTTGAGTGAGGTAACCCAGACCCAGAAAGACAATTATCACATGTACTCACTCATAAGTGGTTTTTAAACATAAAGCAAGGAAAACCAGCCCACAAATCACAATCCCAGAGAACCTAGACAAAAATGAGAACCCTCAGAGAGACATACATAGATCGAATCTACATGGGTAGTAGAAAAAGACAAGATCTCCTGAGTAAATTGGGAGCATGAGGACCTACGGGGAGGGTTAAAGAGGGGAGGGGAGAGGCAGGGAGGGGAGCAGAGAAAAATGTAGAGCTCAATAAAAATCAATTAAAAAAAGAAGAGGGTTGGGGAGAAGAAGAGGTACAGGCTGCTTCACATCAAGAAGGGAGTCAAGAAACCACAAAGCGTAGTTCAAGGGTCCTCACCATCCTTGGTGAGGCTCTGTTTGTTGACTGGGCTGGCAGATGCTGGGAATAGAACCTAGGGTCTTACACAGCTAGGCAAGTCTTTTCCACTGAGCCGTATACACAGCGAAGGCCAAGGTGTTGATTTAAGAAAGGATGGATGCATAATACTGTAATTTGTTCAAAGCAGGTTTGTGCCAAAACTAACTTTGGTCAATTAAGCATTTTCTAAAAGAATGTCCTAGTTAATCTCTTAGACTCTGTTTCCCATCATGGAGAACTTGGTATTTCATAGGTACATACCTCTACCAGTAAGCCTTTGACCACCGTGTCTTTCCAGTTGACATCTTGCTGCTCACTGGCATCAGCTGGGCAGGCACCACTTGGTTTGGATGTAGCCACTACAGTAATATTCACTTTACCTGGAAAATATTGCCAAGAATAAGATAAAGAATACTGACGCCTTCTCCAACAGGAGATGCTTCAAGTTTGTCAATCATCTTGAATAGGATGAACCAAACTCTTAGAATCTCACAAAAGTTTAGAGTACCAGCTTCTTCTCCTGCCTGGAGAAGAGGCAATATGTTTTTCTTGTTCTACATCCTTCAAGATTCTCTGTAGTAAGTTACTCATTTATTCCCTTAGAATTTACAAAATATTTTTTTTTCCAATTTGATGCCTTTTTAATTAACCAAAGTGCAGGTTTTTATTTAAATCGGGTTTACACTGTTTTAGGGTCCAAACCAAAGTTTTCCTTGGCCTTTCTTTAGGAGGAATGGAGTCCAGGGCTTGCAAGCGGCAAAGTCTGGGTCAGGCTATCCCTCCCATCCCCAGTCATCAAGCTTATTTGGCTGGAGGGTTTCCGGCCTTGATCCCACCACCATAGTGGTGCATCATGTAACGGCTGGCCTGCATGCTCTGCGCCACCACGTTGGTGAAATGGCACGCCATCAGCAGGTAATTTCGAGGCTGGACCCGGTAGGCAAAGCGCATGAAAGCCATGGAGTAGAAGATGAGCGCCATCGTCATGCGGCCGCTGATGATGTCAGGAGGCGCCTTCATATCCTTGAAGGCGGCCATCGGAAGGCCCCAGTTGGCCACAGGACCCCAGAAGTGGGTGCTGGTTATGTAATCCCGGAACTCCTTGGTCTTCACATATTCTCTAGTTTTTCGCAGTAGCGCTGTGACCCCCGACATGGTCGCCCCAGTGGGAGGAGTGCCAACGGCCAAGCTGCCAGGCAACAATGGAACACCGAGTGCCGACCTCGCAACGGACCCTGACGCAGCTATCTGGGGGTCCTCTTCCTTCCTTTTTTTTTTTTTTTTTTTTTTTTTTTGGAGATAGGGTCTCACCATGTAGTCCTGGCTGACCTGGAGCTCACTACATAGACCAAGCCTAGAATTCACAGAGATCTACCCACCTCCCCACCTCTTCCTTCCGAGGGCTGGGACTAAAGGCATGCACCACCCTTCCTGGCAGTAACTAGGGCTTCTAATGTTTCCCAGGATCAAAGAAAAATGCCACCACACCTGGTAATAACAGCGGATTTTAATGTTTTCTAAGACCAAAGAAAAACAGTAAGAGCTGATACAGCAGAAGGGTCACCAGATTTAAACTGAGTGCTGGCAAGAAATCTGTCGATTTTAATTTCTGTGGTATCACAGTATGCAATCAAAACTGATCTCCAGTATCCTTGTTTATAGAGAGGAGGATTGGGAAAGCTTGTAAGACTTAACATCGCCTGTGTGCTGTAGACACAACCAACGTATTGTTTCTCTGCCTTTGTGTGAGTTTTGCTCATTTCGTTCTGTGTTTTGCACAGCTGTTGAGCATCACTAGCAGAGTGGTGCAGTATTCTGTGTCACTTCCCAGAGTGAGACATTTGAAGATCTGACATAGGATAAGGGTTAAGAAAATTTAAATCTAATAGAAAGATGGTCTGAGGTGAATCAATATCACAGATGAATCAAAAACATATTCTCTCCTGATGTAATAATACAACGAATACAAGACATGAAATAAAAGAATTTTAATGACATAATCTTAAAAGATTTTCTCAAACTAAGAATCACCTACATTTAGCATTTTTAGTTCACTAAACTCTTTAACTTTTCCTTCTCTGGTATCCTCAGCAAGAGACTTCCGCAGACATTTTTCTGAACTGCCAGGCACTACAGCAAAGCTCTCAGTATTTGATCCAATGCTTGGATTTTTCATATCTGGGATCTATTGCATTTAGTTTAAAAAAATAATCCCAGCAACTCTCATTATTGATGGCTTTGTCTGAGGAGAAATTTTTCTAAAAGTGGCATTTTCTGTGAATGTTGGGTAAAGCCGCAAATGCCAGAGTCACAGTAGCATTGGAGAGACCTGGTTTTTATTTGGGATATGTTATGTGGACTTGATAAATCATACACATTATTGTTTGTGCCATATTTTAATCTTATTATACTTTTTGTGTAAATGAATGGGGTTTTGTTTCTCAGAGTACTAAGTAGGCTATAGGGCTGGAGAGAGGGCTCAGGGCTGGAGCACCTGCTGCTCTTGGGTTTGTTCCAGCACTCACATAAGACAACTCACAACCATCGAGTTTTGCTGGAACACCCTGTCCTCAATTCCCAGGCACTGCATGCACATGGCGCACATACATACACGCAGGCACACACATACACGCAGAAAATAAAATACCTTTAAACAAGGAAATTATAAGAATTTTGAATATAGAGAAATGAATAAAGGAAATTAGAAATATGATGCTGAAGAAAAAAAATCATGTTTCTTCAGGAAATCTAAGAAAAACAGAGGTTTATAGGATCTAGGTTAATCCACAAAAGATTGCTGCTTACCCAGTGTCTTTGGTACAATGGTCCAGACGTACGTTTTTCGTTCTCCAGCCTGGAGAACATCACTGCTGTTGTTACTCGGGGTGTTGCTATTTGCTTCATAATTCTCAGATGCTTCTAACTGAACAGAAATCTAAAAACAAAACAATGGCCACCGGGTAGTCCTTTAAATTCTCTCACCTTTGCTTGAAATTCTACAGTTTATCACACAATGGTTTCTTCAATGGCTCCCAAGAAGTTGGCATTTTTCATCTTAAGAAGATTTTCGTATTTTAACTTAGCAAAATGAAAAGACGCCCAAGGACTCATTCACAAGTTCACAAAATAGTAAAGTGTGTATCATCACAAAATGACATTCTCACTAAAATTTCAAGTCATTGTTGTGATGTAAAACAATTATTTCTGGGCCTGTAGAGTTCACCCAGCAGTCAAGAACACTTGTTACTCTTAAAGAGGAGCTGGGTTCAGTTCTTAGCATCCATGAGGCAGCTCACCACAGCCAATAACGTCAATTCAAAGGGCTCTGATGTCCTTTTCTGACCTCTGTGGGCACCAGAAATGCACATGGTACATATGCATACATGTAGACCACACAATCATACTCAGAAAATAAAATTAAAACTGTAAATAATTATTCCTAAAGATTATAGAAAGAAATGACTTATAGCACATTTTTTTATTTGTAAATAGACTATGGTGATATTTAATGAAAAGACTAGTGAACAATTTAGCTGGCTGGATTTTTGTTTCCAGATCAAGGGGGTGACTTACCTCTACACACGTGCTCAGGTAGCTGAAGACACTGACAACCACGTCACTCTGCTCATTTCGAACTATAGAAAAGGGTGAGGCAATTTCAACAAAGAAGGGCTGGGAGATCTGTAGATATGCTTTGGGTGAGATGCCAAACCCAGCTTCACCATTCACACAGAAGGCGCTGGCCTCCCATTGGGTTATAGTGTCAGGGACCAGGAATGAGACATTTGCTGAACCTGAGGAACTGAAAAGACAAGCTGTGAGTGACCTATGTCCTCTAAGTTTAGGCAGAACACGCACAAACGCAGTGACTTCAGGAGTTAGCTAAGGCATCGTTACAGATCTCTGGTCTGAGTGTCTGTAGAAGTGAACCTTAGAAATGCCATATTTCTATAAACATCTTTTTTAAAGAACTGAGGTAGCATATATCTACCTGCATGAAATTTATAGGAGTGAAGGTTTGGTGGAAAAGTAGTTTTATAGGACAAATAAACAAAGAAATCATCAAACATTCATGATCAGGATGTACAAGTGAATGATTTTTTTTACAAATACTTTATTACTTTATTGCCCAAGAATAAAAGTTAACAAATCAAAAGAAGAAAAATAGAAATGGAGATATGCAGGGGAGAAATCCATTTTAGAAAAAAGACCTAAGAAGTAGCAGGAAAGTAAAACTCACTCCACATTGATGAGGTCCCATATCCAGGTCTTGGGGAAGTGCGTCCTGACTGTCTCTTTGATGGCCTGTTCTGCCTGGTTGATGCCATCTGCGATGTCATGAACTAAAATGAGAAGGGAGGGGGCAAAGAAATGTCCTATGTAGAAATAGCAAAAGTACGTGCTGTGCTTCAGAGACACAGGCCTCACTAAGCTGTGTGTGTGTGCATGTGCACGTGTGTGTGTGCGTGTGTGCATTAGTGTGTGTGCATTTGTGCATGTGTGTGTGCGTGTATGCATTAGTGCATGCGTATTCATTCATTTGTACATGTGTGCGAGTGTGTGTGTGTGTGTGTGTGTGTGTGTGTGTGTTTAATGTATGACCACCTGTGAAGGTACTAGTGGCCAGGTTGGTTTCCTCACTTGCTTTTCCATCTTGATTTCTGAGGTAGGGTCTCACTGAACTTGCACCTTGAGTCAGCTAGACTGGTGGTGGGCCACTAATCCCTGGAGACTACCTGTCTCTGCTCTGAGCACTAGGGTGGCAGATGTGCACTGAAATGCCTGGCATTTATGTGGGTGCTAGGGATGTGAACTCAGGTCCTCACGACTGCACAGCAAGCAATTCACCCACTGAGCCATCTCCCAGGCCCTTGAGTTGAACTCTTGACTATATCAGACCTAGTATGTCTTAGCATGAGGTGATGCAGAAATTTACTTCTAGGGCTTAACATTGATAATTCAAATCTCAATCTGGGTGTCACTATTTTGACGCTCAAATTTCCATTTGCTTAAAAGTTACAACAAACAAACAAATTACCGGCAGCCAAATCTGGATGAATTAAATCTCTGCCCTGACTCTTGACTGACATGCACCTGCCAACTTTGCCCACTAACATTATTCTTGCTGAAGTTTTCAGTGGCATTACTAGTTCTAATTCTCCAGAACATTGTTCTTTACAGGAGTGGCCTGTAGTCTGCATAGGATGCATTTAGTCAGTGTTTCTACATGAAAATTATAACAATGGCGCTGGGCATGGTAGTGTATGCTTACAAACCCTAGGATTTGAGAGGTGGAGTCAGGATAATCAGAAGTTTAAGGTTGTCCTTGACAACTTAAGTTTGAGGCCAGCCTGTGCTAATACAAACAAGCAAGTCTCGTTGAGTTGTCTTACACCATGTCTAGCTGCTGCCTGCATTATCCTGTATAGTGGTCTTCCATCTATTTTGAGGCCAGTCTGGGCTACAGAGAAGGACCCTATCTTAAGCAGCAAACACAAATTTAAAAAGATAATGAAAGGCAGAAACCAAAACCTGGACTTCTTCCTGTATCAGAAGCTAATTATTCCTCATGGCCAAAACTATTTCTAGCCTGTCTCGTTGAACTGTAGAAATTCTAATTCTTGCTCCACATCATCATCAGGCATCTGTAAGGCCTGTGTTTGACATGGCTTTGTCTTACATACACCCAGTCCAAAGAATTCTGCTGACTGATAACTCCAGCAGAAAGTTCTAGATTACCCACAGGCAGAAGCAGCTGGAGCATCGAACATCTTCATCTGTCCTTCTGGGCTATCAAACGACCTCAGCAAGTCCTGGCTTTCCTGGGATGAACACACCTCTGGTTTCCGGTAACGGAAGTTGGTAAAGATTTTCAGACCCATGTCCTTTCAGAGAGAGAAACAAAAAGTTATACATTCCTTTCCTGAGAAGACCATGAAAGGTCTACAGTCACAGTAAACAGACAATAAATATAATATTTCTGTGTTAGCCATGATCCAGTACCATAAAATTCAAGTCTCCTTATTAAGACTTATAGAAAACTTCACAATTTGGAAGAAAACCAGTAATCACTACATTATTATTATTATTATTATTATTTTTGATTCCACTTTTTTATGAGAAAGTAATTTTATTAAATTATAAAAGTTTCCATTTCCGCCCCTCCTCCCAACACTCTTCCTATATTTTTATTCTTATGATAATATTTTCATGTTTTTTCTATTTACACTTAAAGGGGAAACAAGAAATCAACACCACTATTGTCTTAACAGCAAACACGCATGCACACATGCACATGCATGTCTACACACAGTGCACATGCGGTAAACAGCAGACTGGGACTTGAACTAAAGGCTGTCTGACTCAGTATCCTCTTCTAAACCGCTATGACTCTGATCATGAAGCTCTTGCATGACCCCGAGCACATGGAGCTGACAGTCTCTGTTTATGTGGAATACAGACTGTAAGTTATCTTCTTGGTTTAACAGTAAGAGAGACATAGATGGGGGTCAGGACCACTAAAGCTACAACAGGGAGTGTTTTCAAGACTCATTTGTGCTCTTACCCTGAGAAGACTGGCAATGTCTCCATCCCAAGTGTTGCTTGCAGGTTTATAATACAGTCCATTGTGGAATAAATCTGTCTGAGGGATGCATGGGTCTACTGTAGCATCATCCAGGTTGAGACCATGGAAGAAATAACCATATTGTTGGATATTCGGGAGCAGGTTGTATACCTAGGACAGGAAGATATGGTCTTTGGTGACTTTAAACCCTTCTTGAATAATTATAAGATTGGAAATTTTGTGTCATAACTGTTTATTTCTGATTCAACTTTCCAAAAATTCAAAGGAGGAGACCAATTTTTTTTTTTAAATGTAGTCAACGTTATTGGCAAACTTTTCAGGCCAACAGTGCAGGATTTGGGATAGCAAAGTGGAAAAAGGTTATGGAGAACACTAGGTTGTTTCAAAGCCTAACACACAGACAACTGCCTGAAGTTAACACTAAGTTCTCAGACCTGGAGGGTGATGTCAGCTGCTTGAATCTAAGTATTAACACAGTAACCCCCCACCCCCCGACAAAATATAGCATCAAGTAATGAACAAGAAGTCCAAGTGCTCTATATAACTTCAGGAAAATGTTCTTGTGAAGCCCAGGGCCATGTGCAGTGAATGTGCACCCATAAAAAAAGCCAACAAAGAGTGAGGTCTAAGACTTATGCTTTCGCCATTACGAGGAGGGGTGACCGTTGCTGTAGTCTTCCAGTCGTTGGCGGAACTAGGCAAACCATGTTCTCAAAGACTACAAAGAAACGAGGGTATGTGAAACTGAAGGAAAGCTTAAGAAACTACACGCAGAAAGGGAGAATGACCCAGAGAAATGAGAAGAAACACACACCTAATTAGTCCCGGATAAAAATACTCCAGCTGCTCGGGTCAAAGTACAAACCATCTTCCCTGGACACAACAGCTTCCAAGGAAGGGCTTGAGAGGCAGGGGCAGCTTCCTCTCACGGAAATGCATGACTCACGTGGGTGGCAGCTATCGGGGGTATAACTGATGGACAGGGTGGTGTGAACAGGGGAGAGGACTGGCCCTTGGAGAGGGTGCTTAAGGGAGGGGAGGATGTAACAGGATGAAACAGGACACACTGTAGCTAATGGAACTGCTCAGTCCAAATAATTAGCCAAGAGAGAAAAGCATTCCTCAAATATTTCATAATAAAGGAAATATTCCCAAATTGGCATGAAAGCTATTTTAAAAGATTATGAATCGGAAATTAAACAAAGGAAGGATAAAGATGGGTGAAACCAAGGAAGAACTAGTTGAGAATGAACCTGAGTTGATTTCTGAAAATCACAAAAATATCAGAAATGAACTCTAAAGACTAAAGGCCCCAAGAAAAAAATGACTGACAGAAACCATCCATTGTTTATTTGCTTCTTGTTTTCTGAAGCCGGATCATGTGACTTTTATCTACTGAGTCTCCTATGTCTGTCTCCCAAGTAAAGAGGTTACAGATGTGCACACCACAGCCAGCACACCAAGCTTACAGAAGAGAGAAATAGAAAACAAGAGAAAAAAAGAAAGAACCAAAGCAGGTCACAGCAAACATGAGAGTCTGAGAGCCCGTGAAAATTAGCTAACACATGAGTGAAAAATTTCAAGACAGGGAAGAAATAAAAAAGCTTAATTTTTAAGTTAGAATTCAGGGTCAGCTTTGGATTTTCCCTCACAGAATAAATCCTAAGCAATATTTTACTAAAATGTTTAGTTTAAATATAAAGAGGGGAAAACCTCCAAGGCCTCCAGGAAAGATCAAATAATCTACCATGGAAAATAAGTTCACCTCACAGCACAAGTCCCTAAAATAATGTTCACAGCGAGGTATGGGGGGCAGGGTTCTCAGTTCACAGCGAGGTATGGGGGGGGCAGGGTTCTCAAGAAATCTAGAGAAAAGCGCATAGTCACTTAACTCATCTCTCATGGATCAAGGGATTGTTCTTTATTTTAAAAAGTTTCTGTTTGCTGGGTTTTTTTTTTGTTTTTTGTTTTTTTTTGACCGGTCTCATGTCTCATTGACCGCCATCTCCTGATCCTCCTGCCTCTGCCTTCCAAGTGGTGAGGTCACAGGGGTCCACCACCACGCCCAGTTTCTAAGTCAAGGCTTTGGAAAAATGATCCTGGAAGGAAAGTGTCATGGAAACCACGTGCCCTTCTGAGGAAGCCAGCAGAAAATACGATTCAGGTAGCCAAGCACGGCTTAGAAACTGGGCTAGCTCAGGAAACAAGAGAGAGACACAGGTGTAAGCATGATGTGTTCTCCCAGGAAGGAAAGATGCAACTTTTATATGCACACATATATGTATAAATACATATATACATACACATATGGAATCAGATTTAATAGCTATAACATAAGCTGAAAACAAGAACTATATCTTCATAACATGCATAAACATTTCAAAACCCACATCTAAGCACATCAGCACACCAGAGGGCTTTATAAAATAGAAATATCACTGACCATAAAGCAGAAAACCCAAAATAACTGAATAAACCACAACAAACTGTCTTTTACATATAATTACAAAAGTCTCAGTATGTGAAATTTTGGAATAAAGGGGTAACTTCAAACAGAAAAAAAAATTCTGAAAAACAGAAATGGAGCAATCACTACACATTGGCATCTATGGGGGAGTTTGAAGGTGGGGGGGCGGGGCTAGGAGCAGAGTTTAGTGACAAAGTCCTTGCTTTGCACACACAAGCCTGGCTCCAATCCCACCACGTAGCAAACAACAGACAGCCAATAATATCAGAGAAAAATGCCTAGACCTCTAACCTGCTTAACTACATTAATATGCGATAGATATTTTAAAATACTACTAAAAACAGCAATGACAAAATGGAAGAATAACGGGCAGAGCGCCAAACCCAAAACAAGCAAACCCCACAGAAGCCACTTTCCATTTAGTCAATAACAGCAAAAAACGGGTAAGTCAGCAAGGAATAAGGGAAAAAGTATAAGCATAAAAATATAATAAAACAGAAAGCAACGTAACTGTTGACACAGAGAGCATGGCTCTTAGGTCATAAGGACTTCCTTAGTTTTCAACAAAATGAATTTGGAAATTTCCATGAAATTCTTAATCTAGGGATTGGGAGAGAAGGCTCAGGGGTTAGGAGCACTGCTGTGCTTCAGAGGAGCTGGGTTCGATTTCCAGCATACAGAGATGTATATGCAAACAAAATATTCATACAATAAAATAATAGATATTTTTATCTTAATTGCTTAAGAAAGGAGGCAAACTAGCACCCACCGAGAGACAATATTTAAATGGGACAACCTTTATAAAACAAACATAGAAAGTTGTCAGGAGACTGTTATACGTGAGCCAGCAGGAGCTCCTGTTCCACTGTGCTTCCTACTAAGGCAAGAACAAGGAAAGGATGCTGCTGTCCTCAGGACGTCATACTGTGCTGGAATCAGGCAGGAGGCGTGGAATGAGAGGGAAGGAAGGGAGGAGAGAGGAAGGGAGGGGGGAGAGATGGAGGGAGGGAGGGGGAAAGAAAGGGAGGAAGGAAAGGGAAGAGAAGAGGGGAGACAGGGAGGGAGGGCGAGAAAAAGAAAACTTTCTATTGATGGCGATGTAATACACAGAAACAGAGAATCAATAAAAAATATAATCCAATTAATAAAGGATTTTAGCAATTTAGCAAAATGTAAATTGTGTAGAACAGCTGCGGGTACATGAATAACAGTAAACTATGTCGTGGCCAAAAGCCTTGTTTATAGTAGCAACAGAGCTGTTATGACACATTTGAATGAACAATTTACATGAGAAAACTATTTAAAATTTAGTTCATAAGTGACAGAAAAATATGCTTGGAAAAATAAAAAGCCTAATTCTGAATATTCCCCCAATAGGGGGCAGTGCTGAAATTAATTTGTAAATCCCACGTAATCACAGTAGAAGTATCAGTTGGGTTTCCCTCCTTGAGCTAGGGAAGTTAGAAGTATATTAATATTAAAAGTCAACTATAATAGCAAGGGGCAGCCTGGAGTTGAGATGCCTGGAGCTCCTTGGCCAAAGGAGTTGATAACCAAAAATTGATCTTTATCATTGAACCTGTGGGACTGACATAGGAAAAGAAAAACCAAAGGAACAGAACATAAAACTGAGAAATAAATATAAAAAATAGAAAAGCCGCCGAGGATAAGGACAGTGTCGCACGGCATTTGAGCAGAGGTAATATGTCAACTGGATATATTTTACTTAAGAAAAAATGAACTAGATACATATTTCATATTCAAGGAGCCTGTGCTCCCAAAAATAAAAAAAAAAACAGTTTTCAAGACTGGTACGAAGAAGATAAAGATAGCCCTGGGTCATCCTGGGCTAGGAAGTTAGTTAGAGCTGAGAATATAATCTGATATCGCATAATCATATTATAATTTGACATTATTAAAGGGCACAGAGACCGACTGAAAGCCTCTCCCACTATGATTTTAAAATATTACATTGCTTTAGAATTTTAAATCTGCTCTAGTTATTAGGAGAGTTCTGACAGACAGGAAACTCACGTAGCTAGTGACCCGTTCTAGCAACCGAGGAAGGAACACAGAAGCAAAGATGATTTTGGCACGTCCCATCTCAAGAAAAAGTATCTTAATCCGACGGGTAGGGCCTGCATCCACACAGTTTGGGGCCAGTGAGGGACAAGGGTCCTTACACTTTCAGGAGACAGTTCTTGTTCGGGTTTCAGCAGAAGGACACTTTTGTCCACGGCTCGCAGGGCACAGAAGGAGTCTGGGGCTGCCTGAAGAAATAGACGGGTGGTGGAGCCAGGTAGGTCCTGCTCCTTTGAGAACTTCATACTGACCTGAAGCAGAGAAAGGCAACCAATGAGGGTGGAGATAATGACACAGGAAGAGAATCTGAATAAATCTTGTCTTTTCCAAACAAATCCTGCCGGATTTCTGTACAGACATTTTCCTGTCCATTCTCAGTTCCCTTTTGGACTATCTCCTTTCTCCCTGCCCTAGCTCCCCATGATCAGGCATCTTCAAGATAACTAACTAGTCATGACCCCCATTATTTATCAATTTAACTAGGAGGTTACTGGGTAAAGATAATGAGGGTTGTCAAAATACCTCAGGGGTAAGAGCGCTTGCTACCAAGGCTAACAGCTTGAGGTTGATCCCTGGAAGCCACGTGGTGAAAGGAGAGAATGAAGTCCTGCAAACTGTCCCCTGATATTTGTGCACTCACTTCTTGGGCACACAAATATGACACACACACACACACACACACACACACACACAAACACTAAGTAAAACAAATTTTAAAAAGGAAGTGGCAAGAAGGAAAATGCTGACCCCGCTGACAGAGGAAACATTACCTGGTTTTTAAAGCACTTGGCAATCTGGAGTCTGACGCTATCCGCAATGATTTCCCCACTGGGGTGGAGGGTGTAGACAAAGAGGTCGGCTGCTGGTGCCAGGTCAGCACCGATGCGGATGGGGAGCGAGAAGTTTCCGTTCCAGGCTGCGGAAACAGGCAGTTCACAGACCACATGGACTAACGTATATGTGGGTGTGTTTGGATGAAGGAGAATTGTTCGAGGACAGGAAAGATAAACTGGACCTTATTCAAATGCAACTAAGAAGCAGGGACTTATACACCAATGAGGATGATATTACAATAGGAATGCCCTAGACACCCCTCTTCTAGAAGGCGCGTGATTAACTGATAGCAATGGTACCAGCTAATTTTTGTCAACTTGACACAAACTTGAATCACCTGGGAAGAGGAACCCAATTAAGGAGTTGACTCCATCTGATTGCCCCGTGGGCATGTCTATAGGGACATTTTCTTGACTAATGATTGATGTAGGAGGACCCAGACCACTCTGGCCTGTGCCAATCCTGGACAGGTGAACCTGGGGGTTATAAGAAAGCAGGCTGGGCAAGTCAGTAAGCAGCATTCTCCCACGGTCTCTGCTCCAATTCCTGCCTCCAGGTTCCTGCTCCAACTTCCCTCCATGATGGACGTATAGGGCGAAACAAACCCTTTCCTCTCCAAGTTGCCTTTGGCCAGTCACAGTAACAAAAAGTCAACCAGAACACTGATAGAAAGGTAGCAATCTCCTTGCTTAAACTATTCTGTAAGTTACCTCAGGCTATGCTATCTCCAACCCTCCAACTGCAAGTGGGAACAAGTGCCCGTCCTAACTTCTAAGCAAAAGCGTGATGATAAGGTACGTATTTCAAAGCAGGTGCATCATATCCACCTTGGCTTCTGACTTCCTTCTGTCCGCTGAGGAAGATGCTTCCTCTTGCCATTACCTGAGGCAGACAAAGAAAACCCTGTGTGAGTACCGCAGTGACCATCGTATGATGTCATCGTGGACTGACTGACCCGGTGTGAGCCCTGCAGTGGCTGTCCTATCGTGTCACCGTGGACTGATCTAGTGACTGTTCTGACCTGTAACAAGACAGCTTCCACTAATGAACACTGGGTGGGAACTTCATACAGGTTGGGCCTGAACAGAGAAAACACCAGAAAAATCTTGAAGCCATCTAATGCATGCACAAGCTGGCGGCTTTGCCTGCCCATTGTCTATCCATTTTCCTCTGTTCCATGCTGTGACATGGAGTGCCCATGAGGCTGAGCAGGTGGCTTGACACACGTGAAACTCTTTAACAGTGTCTCAAGCCTACTATTGTTGTTGGTGAATCTAATTGATTCCTTTATGGTTTCCAGTTAGGAATATGAGAACAGCTGAGAACGCCAGGGCTTAGAGAGTCTGAACAAGGTGCCCAAGGTGGACACACATGCTTAACGGCTAGGAGAGGGGAGGGGGTAGGAGTAGGAGTGTCTTCATTTCCGAGTCTGTTTTCCCTCTCCAGGGAGCCTTGGTGAGAGCGAATGAGAGCAGCCTCCTTTACCGCTCATCGTTTGGAGCTTCCCATGTTGCTTACCCTCTCACATGCTCATAAATATAGATGGGAAGTATAACGGACTGACTGAAGAAGCAAGGGTTTCAGTCTCACGGGAACTCAGATTGCCGGGGATTATTTTGCAAGCCTGTTCCTGTGTCCTTAATGGAGCCAGGGCTATTCAGCAGCAAAGTGGGTAGACAGAGTTCACTCAGGTAGACAAGTCCTAAGAGATGATACCTCCTAAACCGGGTTGTGCTGAGTAGATAGATCCACCAGCTGAGACTTACCAAATAGAAGAAGTTCACGTCTGAGTCCTCCTTGTAGGCCTCAGGGTTTAGGGAGTAAAGAACTGAAATAATCTTCTCTTGATTACAGGGAAGCTGCTCTGGTTCAGGAACGATCTTCAGGAAGCTGTTGGTTTGGGAGTAAAAGCGAGAGACTGTGAAGTAGGCATCCAAATACTCAGGGTTCAACCAGCTGGGACGATGGCAGGCTCCGGGTCGGACATATACGGCCTGACACGACAGAAAAAAACAAAGGAAAGACGTTAGAATGATGGGCACTTCCGAAGAGAGGGAACGCTTCAGAACACAAGGCTTCTCATCTCTTCAGAGCAGGGAGGAAGCTGACTGGTAGCTGTTATTGGGGAGTCTGGCAAGATGGCTCAGCATGTAAGGACACTTGCCTCCAGGCCTGACCACCCAAGCTTGACTCTGGGCACTGCTGTGGTGGATGGAAAGAACCGACTCATAGAAAATAAGATAATAATAACACCACTCTCTTTCCTGTATATAAAAAATGACTATGGTTATGTGACTGTCTAATTGAACTAACAGTGAACTGTTATGTTCTCTCTCTCTCTCTCTCTCTCTCTCTCTCTCTGTGTGTGTGTGTGTGTGTGTGTGTGTGTGATTGTTGGGAGCTGAGCCAGGGGATGGTTGACTATGTAGCCCAATGTGGCCTGCAATTCAAGATCCTCTTGACTCAGCATCTTAGGTGCTAGAATTACAGGCATAACTACCATGCTCCGACTTTTTACTTTTAATTACAGCCAGAGAACTAGATTCAAGTTCTGTATCCTTCACCTGCATGTGAACCACGACAAACAGTTTAACTGCAAACACGTATAGACGTTTCAGAAGCGATCTCACAGCATTTCTCCCTCTATGCACCGAATGGTGTAAGGACAAAGGCCAGATTTTCTTACATGCTACTTGTTCTTCCACAGCATAAATATTGGTCATGATAGAGTCACCAGAAGAGAACATTAGTGTCTCATTGTCTGATCTCTGTTATCCCCATGTACTGAGGGGACAAGCCAGTCTCAGAAAATATGCTACCATCTAAGAGCCTTCTCATGCTCCAAGCCCCTAGCACTGGGCCTCTGCGGGATTCCCCAGTCTCCATCCACCCTTGGATGTCTTACTTTCAGGCTGATCTGTGCATCGAAGATCTCTGAAGTGTTGATGGAAAACTGAGCTTCCCCGTTCCCATCTGTGGTATAATTTCCTAGAAATTTGCCATTGAGCTCCAGTTGTAAAAGTTTGCTCACCATCGGTGTGTTATCAGGACCAGAAAATCTAAGCTGTACAAAAGCAGAAATATTAATCCTTTTATGACCCGGACTTTACACGTCTATAGGGAATTCTGAGTTCATGAGAGTGATCACCTAACAGAAATTTCAGTGAATAGAAACATCCATCCTGTTAATGTGTTTACACATAAAACAGGAGAAGCTGGCTATCATTTCACACCTTGCTTGCTTTTAGCCTAGAATTTTCCAAACGTATCAGACATAGCAATGTTAAAAGTGGGTTGTGAACCTAGAAAAGAGTGTCTAGGAAATTTCAAGCAATAATCTGCAAACAAAGAAAACCAAACAAGGTACTCTAAAACATCTAGTCAAACCTACAGTTCCAGAGTAAGCGATCCCTCTCCTGTAGAAAGAGTCCATGTTCTCAAAGCTCACGCTGCCAAGCACCGAAGTGATAAAAACAGGGTGTGTTTTACTGATCTGCACACCTGAAGAAATAATGAATCACAGTGTCAGGAAGGGATTAATCATTTGAACAAAACCCGTGAGGGTGGGAATGTATCTCAGTGGTAGAGGCTTGTTGCCTAAGCATATGTGAGGCCATGGGTTCAATACTTCCATTCCCCGCGAAAGCCACCTTTAAAGATGTTTCTCTACCCCTTTGAGCAGTAATTAATAATTAATACACAATTTTGCTAACTCTGTATGGTTTTCTTTCTCAGTGGGTCACGATATATTTCCAATTTGTCCATGAAACACTGTCATTACCTGTTCCAAATTCTGTAACCAGCACATTCACATTAAATGTCATGAAAAGTCCAGAGCGATATAGTTGGAAGACTTTTGTGTTGACAGTTTGAGAAACACAGCCATCTTTCAGCTGAAAAATAAACCGAGGTATAATGAAGAAGTTAGGGATCCAAGAGTCGCATGGAATTTTAGCACAGATGCATCCCACCCCTGTGTGCCCAGGTGTCCCCCACTAAGTCACTGAACTGATAAAGAGGGTTAAAGCAGGAAGATGAAGTGGGAGAAGACATACATCAAGGGAAGGGACAAATCTGCACCTTACAGATTCAAGGCCACTCTCCTGGAACTAACGTAGGCATGAAAGAGTTAAAGAATGAGAGTACAGGTAGTGATCTCCCAAGAGTAATAAACACCCCTTAAATGAGGGATGCCAATACTTGTAAGGGTCTATTATTTGAAATAGGGGAAACATACTTTTTTCAGTACTAACAACAATATTTAGAAATCTGTAAGTTTAGTTACATTTTAAAAATAAGAAATATATATTGACTTCAAAATTTAAACATTGGAAGGATACACTAATTCATTTGACCCTCAGAACTATCATTTGGTCTAGGCAGTATTATTACACCCATGCACATGGTTAAAAATAAATCTTAAGAAAACTGAAAAGATGAAAATTAAAATCAATGACTTATAGACATGCACAAAACTGTATCAATGATGATAAACCCAGCAGAAGAGGTGAGATTTTCATAAGCAGGATTCAGAAATGAGAAGAAGAGAAGTCTAGAACAGTGCACACGGAACACTCTGGGTTCAGGTGTTTCCAATCCTAAGAGAGGAGTCTCCAAGGAACGGCCGTGGAGACCATCCAATAGCACAGAGCACAGGGAAGCATGAGTTCCTTTGTAGGCTTAAAAACCCACAGGCAAGGAGTTATTTTAAACCTGTGATGTCCCCGTGTTCTTCACCTCACTGAGTTCTAACCTCTGCTAGCCGCAGGAGGACAGTGCTAGGAATCCTTTTTGTAAAGGAATGAAATCACTAAGAGAAGGGAGTGGGGATGTCCTTCTCGAGCAAGCCCGGGGCCTGTACCTGCGCGGTGAGCTGCTCGCAGATTTCATTATTATCGCTCTCACAATACCCAGAGGAGGAAAAGTCTCTGCACACCCGGATCTGGGCTTTCCCCGGCACAGACTGGCCGTAGGTGTACCTGGAGGGAAGAGGTGCATCCTTGATCACAGATGGGCAGTACCAGAGTGACATGTATGTACTTCATCAGAAATCATATATGAAGCCTTGAGACTGAGCTCTTCCATTTGAACACCTTTGAGGTTATTTTTTTTGCCACAGAATTTAGGCAAAAAAAATTTATGAAGAGGATCTGGCTGGTTTTCCAAACAGCAAACAAACAAAAATAAATTCATAGTTGCATTTAATTTTAGATGATCTAAAATATCAGTGAAGAAAAACCTAATGAGTAAAAATTTTAAATATATTTAATCTGTCAGAAGTATTGGAAAGTGAGCAGATACTTGCATGGAAGCTCAGAGAAATGTCTTGATCTTTCTCTGAGAGACATAAACGGACTCCAAGATTCTTGAGGAGAGTATGAAGACCCCCTGTATGTCTTCAGCAGGTAGCCCTTTCCAGACTGCAGCTTCAATATATTGAAAATTATCCAAAAATGAGTGTTTTATACACTGTTAGAGCATTCAGCGCCTCTCACCAGGTGTCTGTTCATAGGATGGCCAAACTGCCCAGGTGTAACTATCGGCCATCAGAACACCCTAAAGCCGAGGCTATCCCAGTACCTCATGGGTTATCTTGATTTATAAAGTTGAGATGATGATAGCTCCCAACTTACAACACCGTGGGAATACTTTCTCTAGCTGTCACCTAATAAATACCAGCTGTTTTACATTATTGTTATAAATTTAAAAAAAAGATATCACAAAAAGGAAAAGGGGATCAGAAATAATTTCCCAAAACAGGGGATAAATGTTCCTAAGAGCAGATAGGGTGATGTTAGAGAGCTCAAATAAATTCAAGCTAAATTATAAACTTCCTTATTTCTGTGAACTTTTAATAGCTCAGTTCCCTCCCTTCCTCCCTTCCTCCCTCCCTTCCTCCCTCCTTCCCTCCCTCCCTCTCCCTCCCTTTCAAAAAACCCTCAATGAAGGTAAAGACTTGGTGAAGTCAGGACTTTCACACCAGTGTCTGGAGTTAGGTGAGCAACTTGACATTTATAAGACTAAAAGAATATTACACATTTTGACTCGGCAATTACCTTTAGTGAATTCTTTTTTAAGCAAACAATTTTCAGTTCTAAGTCAGACTATTACACAGTTTTTCAGAAGACATCTATTACCAATGCATAAATTACTAGAAAACACAGTACAATAGGTTATATGTTATATGGTAGAACAATAATGAAGCAAAACTGCTATTTGCATATGAAGATATGATTACAGGGCGAGGAGTTGGAAGAGACAGAAAGACTAGCAAAATATGGAGATGTGTGTTTTAAAATATTAGATAAAATGGAAAGAAAAGAATAAATATAACTAGGGAAAATTTTCACAAAGTATTAGAGGAAAACCAGCTACAATGTACTAGCAATTGGTGGAACACACTATAGTTTGTTCTCATGCTTTCCTTTATATTTATCAAGCATCCACAATTTTTAAAAATAATTTTAATGTAAGTCTATAAATAACATTTTATGATTAGACTTAATTTACCCCGTGGGGATGGATGAAGTCTGAGGAAACACTTACTTTGCACACGCAACCACTTGAAATTGATGGTCTGCAATCGTTATTGTCTCCGGTGCCCTGACCTCAACTTCAAATTTGGGCAGTACTGAAAACAAAGGAACACGCTTCAGCTGAGAATCCCTAGAGAGCAGAGCTTCTGCAATTAGAGCAAACTGAGTCCCTGCATGTTGTTTTCCTCCACCTTCACCAGCACCTCCACCAGTGCACCCGGGTCTGTGATGGTGCCTCCGGGTCTGTGATGGTGCCTCATTTAAGAGCAACCATTCCGTAGTTTGTTTGTTTTGATTTTTGCTGTTGGTGGCTTGTTTATTTTTATCTATTATTTTTGTCTAGCCTCGAAAATTCACTCTTTTTTATGTTTTAGCTCTTAGATCTGTTTTAGGAGAGCATCTGAATCTCAGAAAAATGAGGTATTTCTTCGGTGAGGGGAGGAGTGGGCAAGGATCAGAGGAAGACCTAGATCCGAAGCCAGGCAAAGGGAGGACTGAGGAGGCCACAGAAAAGCAGACAGCAGAGGCCCAGCCTGGCTCCAGCCAGTCTAGAAAGTTTTGTTCTGTTTTGTTCTTGAACTCAACGGCAGGAGAATCAAAACCAGTACTTGCTTACCATATCGATTAACGGTGAACTGGTGCACCACTGTCATTCCTGATAGCTTTCTTACAGCAATTGTGTAATCCCCAAACATGGGTTCTGGAGTCAGATGGAATGCCAGCTGGGTGATGTTTCTGAAAGTGGTTACGTTTTTCCACTGGAAAATCACATTGCTTTCAGGATCCTCGAGAACGGTGAATAAAGATAATCAGAGGTTGCGTGTGAAAATTACACTTTCCTTACCATGAGTGTTCTCCATAGTTATTGGAAGCAAAGAATGAACTACTATAATGTTTAAGTAGTGACCTCAAGTCCCTGATACAACGTAACTGCTCCATCATATTCAAATTCAATTGATGTTTCTTTCTCTTAAAACTAAAATTCATATGAAAAATAATTTAGAACTGACACCTTTGACTTTTATCTTTTCAAAGTAATATAGTTAAAAAATTAGAAATTCAGCATACTTAGTCCAGAATAGTACTCCCCAAAGCAGAGTGAACTCATAGCCAATAAGTATATAAAGGGACACCAATCATAACAAACATTTAAAATGATTAATATAATCATCACAGGGGCTGGAGAGATGGCTGAGTGGTTAAAAGCACTGGTTGGTCTTCTAGAAGACCTAGGTTCTATTCTCAGCACCTTCGTGGTGGTTCATAACCATCTGTAACTCCAGTTCCAGGGGATTTGACGCCATCTTCTGGCCTCTGCAGGTACTGCATGCTTGCATAGATATATCTATTTTGCCAATAGATAGACATAGGCAAAACACCCAGGTATAATAATCAACATATTATTAATTATTAACTTTATTAACCATCAATTTTAATTAGTTTGATTAGGATATTATTTTTAATTAATTAAGAATAAAAATTATAAATAATTTTGTCACAGATTTCCACCTGGTCTCTGTCTAAGTTGGCCATGGATTATCCTATCCAACAATAACTACGTGGAATTTCTGTGATATTAAAAAGCAGGGACAGTTATCAGAAAACAACCTTCTTCATTTGCTTTCAGCACGTGACCACACACATGTTTACTTTCATAACTATTTTACACTTTCCAGCTCTGATTAAAGTGGTCATGTTTAAAAGACTTCTTTAAAGAGACCACATTAAACAGATTATGTAAGGTAGCAAAATTGCCACTATTTCAAAGGTTTTAATGATTTGTTTTCCTCTACTTTCAAGTTTGGAGTATTCAGTATCTTAGACCTCTTTTCCTTCAGGATTGCCCATGAGAGCTCATGCTGGCTTAGATGTGAGTGGGTGTCATAGAGCAGAATGAACTATTTCCAAAAGAACCAGACGTCATGTGCATGCTCGGTGAATGTCACTGTGCTGCTCTGGGTGCCTGCACTGACATGGTGAACGTCTCCTCATCTAAGCCAATGTTAAGCAAGCTTTGTGTTTCTCTCAGCAGAACATAGCAGATGTGAAAGTGAACTGTTGAGAACACAAGACTGGCTCACCTGGAATTCATGCTACCTTAAGGATGTTACCCATATGAAGAGTTTAATGCATCCAACTATTAGACAAGCCAGTTGGGAGTTTATGAATATCTGTGTTTGCTCATAACTGTGAATTATGAGCCTAGACCCTGACCTCAAGGGTTAACTAATGATGGAGCACATACCACATGCAGAGAAAATGAATATAGGATTTGATCGTTATTTACGAGCAAGCTAATTATATGGCAAGTGCAAGACATCTAGTAAAAAAAAAAAACAACGAAATATGTTTGTTCACTGATGATGGTAAGATTTAGAATTATACAGAGGGGAAAATAAACAAGTTTCTGTCTTCAAATACCTGGCACATTACTCTTGGGGATTCATGGACAAGAAAACATTATTCCTAGGAGTTTTCAAACTTATATTTTAAGCCTACTTCTAACCATTTGTTTCAATTGTCTTAATTTTTCTTTATATAAAATGGAAAAATTGGAAACATGCCACTCCTAATCTGAATGTTTTAAAACCAGAAATGGAAAGTAGATGTCTTACCTGAACGGTGATTGAAGGGTACTGAAGGAAAAAAACACAGAATGGCATTTTAGTGAGACATTCTTTTGCCAAATAGCGTTGCTCCTAAGGGTTTCTCTGTGTAGCTTTGGAGACTGTCCTGGCTCTTGTTCTGTAGACCAGGCTGGCCTTGAACTCACAGAGATCCACCTGTCTTTGCCTTTCAAGTGCTGGAATTACAGGTGTGTGCCGCCACCGCCTGGCCCAAGGTTTATTTTTTAATTAATTCTTTTAGCGAGTGTATTAAACAATGGACTTTCTTATGATATTTTCACACATATACAGCATTGCATCATGCTTGGGTTCACTTCATATCACCCTCTCCTGTCTGCCCTACCTCCCCCCTTGCTTGTGTGTGTGTGTGTTTGTGTGTGTGTGTGTGTGTAAATAGCTAAGTCTAGATCCAACATATGAGAAAAATCATGGTATTTTCTCTTTCTCTCTCTCACTACCCTTTCTGTCCCTTCTCTCTTTAGAACTGTTTCTCTACCTTTATGGTATCCCTTTTACTTTCATGTTCTGTGTGTGTGTGTGTGTGTGTGTGTCTGTGCGCGCGCGCGTGCATGTGTGTGTGTGTGTGTTTGGGTATAATTATGCACATGAAAGAAAACATGATAGTCTGGCTAATTTAACCTAACACAATGAACTCTAGTTCTATTAATTTTTGTGCAAATGGCATAATTCTATTCTTTATGGCTGAATAAAACTCAGTCATGTACACACACCACATCTGCTTTATCCATCCGTCTGCAGATAGACACCAAGGCCAGTTCTACACCTCGGCTGTTGTGAATAGTGCAGGAATGAGCATGGATGTGCAGGTATCTAAAGTACGCTGACTTACATACCTGAATGGTGCTTTGTATAGCAATGGATTTGATTACTGGATTTAATTTCCATTGTACCATCATTAGAAATTGTGGACTCACCAAGTCATCAACAGGCTTGAGCCAGGCGTTCAGTGTCACAATGCGAAAGTGAACTGAAAGAACGGGGGGCGGGGTCACAAAGTGTTTCTCTCGTGATTCCCACCTTACAACTGTGACTGTTCCAAATATATACATAGTTAATTGCTTTCTCATGTCCCCTCCCCCTTGCTCTCATTTGACCCTTTCAGGTTAGGAGTTCACTGGGGGAAAACCTCTCACTGTATTTATTGTTCCTTTGTTAATGATCCTTCTGTTCCCAGTGCTGACACCAGCTACCATTAGAAACATTTACGCTATTGGCCATGAGATAAAAGATTGGGACATCTTGGAACAGAATTAGTGACAGAATTATCCATAGAAGCTCAACTGTGAAACATTTATTTTCCTTGAAAATTATGCTAGCAAGATTAAATTATTTAATTTTGCAGAACTACAAAGGAAAGATGTTGGCTCTTTGGCTGTGCCATTTCCACTCCTAACATTTTAGTAGGAGCAGTGAAGAGGACGTCAGAAAATGAATGTCTCTCTTTAAGAATCATCTTAGCTGTGTTATATGTGAAAATGTCAAAATGAAATTCACAGTCTTTTGTGATGACTTAAAATTAATTATAGAAGAAAAGTGAAAGAAGCCTACATAAGCTGGACATTCAGAGCACAGCAGAGACTCCTTGGAGGAACTCCCCTGCCCCAGACACCATCATGTTAGTCAAAACAGAGCAGAGACTCCTTGGAGGAGCTCCCCTGCCCCAGACTCCATCATGGCAGGCAGAGCAGCAGAGAATCACTGTAGGAAACCACCCCTGACACTGTCACATCGGCAGGTTCTACAGCTGCCAGAAGTAAATGTCTGTTGTTTAAGCTAAAATAAAGTCTATTTTCACCTCTTAAAAAAAACAAAACATAGAAATGTGTAATGTTAATCAGGACAGAATACACAGGTGGTTTCATCTCGAAACCATTAATTTTACAAGTGAAGAAATCAAATCTCAAAGATCAGAATTTACTGGTCAAGAGACACTCATTGATTAACAGAGCCAAACTTCAAAGCAAGTTGTTTTGACTTATAGCCTGGGGTTCTGTCTGCCACAATCTGCTTGGGACAATAGTAAAGAAAGCAGTAAGGCTTCGTCGGATTTCCACGTGTTATCGCAATGAACATAAAAATAGAACAATAGAATCCATAAATGTTGCCGGTGAGATCTTTGTTGTGATTGGCACTGTTTGTACAATGACTCTCATTTCTTCCTTGAAAGTCCCAAGAAGCTTTCATTATCTCTAATCCAAGTATGAAATACTTGGCTTGAGAAAGAGAATTAATGAGCTTGTCAAACAGGCTTGTTATGGATCAGTGGTTTAGATCACACAATTCCACATTTGTTCTATGCTGGAAACCACGCACCATGCAGCCGTGTCAGGATTGTACACAATGGAAGGACTGGACAGGGTCTTATGAACATCAGCTCCTGATCTAAGGACGCCATCTCTTAACTGACGGGATGATGGGAATGCAGCCATCCACGACAAGAAAGACAAGCTTTCCTAAGTTCTACACCTCAGTTTGGAGACTGTGTTCACAGTGAATTACCCGTGTCTCCAGGTTTGTAGACGGGCGTATCTGTCTGCACAAAAGTTGCGTTTTCCTCAGCAGCGATGGCTACCACTCTCCTTTCAGAGATTTTCAGAGTGTTTCCCTGAGCAAGCAAGGTCACAAAGGCCAACTGCTCCGAGGATGTCTGAGACACCTGTTTATGTAGAAGAGCAGAGATGGGGAAGATCGCATGTCTTAATTTAGATGCTTAGACAGGCAAAGCCTTGCAAACCCCTCACTGCCTGACAAAGAACTCACTGATCACCTGTTAAAATTTTTCAACTCAGTATAACGGTCTTTTTTTCTTTTTTCTTCTTTTTCTTTTCTTTTCTCTTCTTTTCCTTTCTTCCTTCCTTCCTTCCTTCCTTTTTTTAAAAAATAAATCCAGGTCCCTATCTTCTTGCTGTCTATTTTTTTTGTGTTGTCCTGAACCAAATCCCTCCACCCTTGAGCCTACATTTTCCTTTTAGACTCCGTGACACACGTTCACTCTCTAAAATAGCAATTGCCTCATCATTTTCTATGATAGAAAATCGCCAACGACAGTAGCAATATAGGATGTACATTAAAATTTTTCCTCTTTTCACTTTTTGCTTCTCTTAAAATTTACGCCACCCCACCCCCACCCAGGGTCAGATTTTGCAAGTCACCCCAAATCGAGATTAGTTACTAAGAAGCAGCTTTGAGAGAACAGGTTCCTGTTCCCACTGGGGATCCCGCTGCATCAGATTTGGTGCCTCACTTGGAAACTGGCGCAAGCGTAGAAGTTCCCCGCCTCCACAGACTGGTCAAAGATAGTAGTATTGGATCCATCATATTCCAGGATGACTCTCAAGGACACAGATTCGTTGAGGTTTAAAAAATGAAGACAGGCTTTTTCTAGGGAAAAGCGCTGTACCACGGAAGAAACCCACAGGATATATCGCCTGCGTAAAGAGAACGCCAGCACTCTGTCAACAGGTCTAGAGACCCTCCACAAACAGCAAACGAGTTATGGAAGGATTTCCCCAACTGCACATTTTTCCAGACAGAATTATGATAAACTGGATGCTCATAGTGGTGTCTTAAGGGCATCCATTCTTCTGATATTTGCTCAATACTTAGAGGGCAAACCCTCACTCACTCGCTGAAGTTGAACTAGAACAATGAACCAACCAGATTTTAACATGGACTCCACTGAATGGGATGGCATTGCCAATATTCTGATACAGAGAGTTTAGAATTCCCTTACGGTTCTGAAGTCACAGCATGAGTGAGAGGAAGCAGAAGAGAGGTGAACAAAATGGCAGGCATCATTTTGTCCCAGCGCCTGACGGTTAACTTTAGAAGAAGCATTCTCTCCTCCTCTCACCAGAAGTCGGCTACCTAGGTACGCAGCTTCCCTTCCTTCCCTTTGTTTCAACCCTGCCGTTGCTTTTATAGTCGCACAGAAGAGAAGATCAGTTACGTTTTGGAGCAAGGCTCATGAGACTGATCCCTTCACATTGCTTCTCCTGTTACCTCGCCAGGGGGTATCGGTTTATGTGTAACTTCCTGCTAAAGTTCGCTGGGTGTTGGCCTGCTTGGAGTCGGCAGTGCAAACTGGACAGGAAGAAGAGAAAAACAAAGAAAGTAGCCGTGTGACACACAAGCTTTCATACTATTTTCGTGCTCCACACGGGGCTGACAGCAGCAGCAACGCAGCGCTACCGAGGGAGTAACAATCGGAAGAAAACAGCTCTGCAATGCACTGTCTCAGTACAGGGTCTCAAAAGGAAAATGTGTTCAGAGATCACACGTCTTAATACAGACGCACTTTACGGATAACTGAATGTGCTAAACTATTCTTTATAATCCTATAAAGTAAGAAAATCATTTATAAGTAAGGTTCAATTTTCTGTATTTAAAGGCATAGTGAAGGAAATACTAAAAAAGAAATAAAGATAGGAAGAAAGAAAGAGAGAAAGAAAGAAAGAAAGAGTGGAGAGAAGAAGATGAGGTGGAAAGAAATAAGAAAGGGGGTAAGGAAGGAAGGAACAAAAGAAGAGGGACTTAGGGAGGTATTTCCATCAGGAATTTACTTTTAAGTTAATGGCCTTTTATACTACATCAAAACATCAGGGGGTCTTCTCACTTTCGATTAACATAAACTATTTATGATACCTAAAATAAACATAGGAAAGGCCAAATGCCACATGCTGTATTGTTGAGCCTAGGGATATACAAGAAAAAGAACAACTTCAGATACACATAGTCACATGGAATCTCAGGAATCTGTACTGAATGACTGCATTTTGGACATCACAGGCCCTCAGACGCTGTCTTCCATTTTCTTGCTCCCTTTCCTCCCCAAGGAGGGCTATAAACTCTAAGGGCTCCTGTATATTGAGGGGAGTCATAAAAATGAGAGCCTCTCTTCCCCAAAGGCAACCTCTGAAGCCTGAGACATACTTTCAGAGCTGACTGCTTTGTTTGAATGTGAATAGTCTCCCAAGGGGCCGTTGTAACCAATGTTTGGTCTTCAAGATGGTGCTGTTGGGAGATGGCAGACCTTAGCTGGGTAATGCTCAGTGGGCGGTCCTTAAGGTTTGGGGAGACGCCCCTCAGAAGAGATTGTGAAATACCAATTTCTCTCTTTGATTTCCTGTTTGGACATCTAAGATCTACACATAGGCACCTCAGCCTAGATGGGCTGAGTATCCAACGCTGTCACCAATGATCAAACCAATGGACTTTGAGACTCTTAGAAACTAAACAAACCCTTTTACTTTATAAAACTCGCAGCCTTGGGTATTTTTTGCTAGTGATGCAAATCTGATTAATCATTGGCTATAAAAAGTTCTCTGATTCACCTCAGAACTGATTTACTGGTAGTAAATCTAAGGATTCCATTCTAGCAGTCTTGCTTTGTTCTCAGGAGCTGGGAATACCACACACAGTGTCAGAAAAAAAAAAAAAAGAACCAAGACAGGCTTTGCTGCAACATTGCCTCTGTTGGCACAAGGTCATCCATTTGGTCCAGTCACATTTCTGTGTTTATTGCTCATCGTATCTAAGCATTAAAACGGACAGTTCAGGACCTTTGTGTCTCCATTTCTGAGTTCTTTCATGTCATATTAAACTTTCATTCAGTAAGTCTGTCATGTGTGTTTCTTCTTAGCCTGTCTTTTGTTTTAGAAGCGTTGGCTGTGACTCTGTTATCCATGAGGAGAGCATTCAAATTTCTGTCCCTATAATCACCTGACAGATTCCATACCATGTGGGTCGTTGGTGTTTGTGGCTGTACTCACTCAGGGTGCTTCTTATTGAATGTACACTAGTGTAATGTTAAGTGGTAGACATGAATAGGGAAATACAAGTGACTGAAGTGATCATCTTACCAGAAAGACAACGTTTTAATAACCAAGCGCACACGTACCTATTGCAGCCAGTATAAGGGGTGCAGTTGAGAAATAACCACAGGGTGAGGGAGAATGCATCTTAGGGTTGTACCAAGTTATTGTGACAACAGCATGAACAATACCAAGAATAACTCACCGTCTATTCAGAGACTTATGCAAACACAGATGTCAGTGCCAATTGATACAAGCAATCATTTATTTTGGAGCTACGATCGGTGTTCTGTGGGATCACATCAACACTGTGAAGGAAAACACTATCAAACAGTTTAATAAGCAGGTGCTTTGGGGATTGGAAATGTCAGAGTGATTAGAAATTTTTTGGGAAGGAAAGAAAATCCAGACCAACCCAGCATGCACAGCGAGACCACGTTAGGAAAAAAGAATCATGAGTGTAATAATTCTTATATTCCACAGAAAACAAGAAGGCAGACTTGGAATGGTGGGGTGGAGGGACCCAAGCCACAGAAACTTCTCAAAGACAATCCTGGCTTGCAAGATCAAGGACCTGGACACTGGCAGTAGCGCTTCAAGAGATCTTGGTTTTCAGCCTACTTCTTAGAATTGAAGCTGTTCAGATAGGGATGGAAGAGGGGAGAAAGTCAGGCTGGCACCGAGATAAATGCTGCTACAGTTAGTGAAACAAAACAAGGACCCAAATAGACAGGGAGGATTTAGGGTCCTTATATAGGAAGTAGGAGGGGAATTTCTTATCAGTAGGCCACTTGAATTACAAGATATGTGCGTGGAAACAGTTGGAGATGTAGGCAGAAATTCAGGTATTGTTATAACATGTGGGTGATGTTAGCATCATGGGCATTGATTTAATTGCAGAAAGCAGCGTTTCGGAAAAGGAAGAGAGAACGGGAAGTCTGCATTGTCAGTTGGCTGGTGAGAGCGGCAGGCCTGTTTCCCTGACCACCGTGAAAGTGAGCAACGTACCACAAAGTGGTCCTGGCATTACCCGCTTTGAAACGTTTGTTGGTGTTCCTAGCAGCGTGATTCATCATAGTCCATTTTAAGGGTGGAAATAGATGTTAAGTTTATCCTGGCATTCCTGAGAACGTCTTGAATTTCAAGTTCCCCTTCATGAAACGGTAAAGTCAACACAACTAAAGTATTACTCAAGACCAGTAACCTATAGGCTGCTAATTATGCTTCAAACTAAACAGAACGATTCAGTTCCTGGTGTGGCAATCCTTTGGAAGGAAACTTGTCTTTTCCTCCTTGAACAAAAAGCTGTTTCACAAGTCGAGGGGCCCCTTTGTTCCCAGACACTTAGCTCCTGCGTCACTTTGTCATTGCTGACGAGAAATCTCCATATGATGGGCAACTGTGGACGAGTGATTGACAGAGGAAATTAGGGGAGAAACAGGTGCTTCTGAGGCAGTCAGGACGGTCCATCCACCCCGCTGCACCAGAGCCAATCGCTTTCAGTCATAAACAAAGCTCGAGTTTTTAATCCACCCAAGGATCCACTAATCCCAAACATCGCTCCACCCAGGCAGATGGACAGATGTGGCATGGAATCTTGTTAAAGATGACCAACAATACATCGGTGGAGACATTTTGAATCTCTAACTTCAGATTTACACTAGAGAAAATTCCAGGAGCTTGGAGCAGGAGATACACAAACTGGAGAAATGATGTGTATGAACCGTAAAAAACATAGTGAATCATTTATAGTGTGCAGCTCTTCTCCCAAACCACCGTCCTTCGATTGGCAGAAACACAGATTCAGCAAAGCGCTTGCCTTCGGTTGACATCACCCACTCAACACAGACTTATTTGTTGGCTCAAAAATGCTTAGAGACAGGAATTTCAGGAGTTGAGATTAGGTAGAAATAAGGCAAATACTATAATGAAGCTGCTAGGCTACAAATAAGCTGAACTCATTGAAGCCTGTATGTCCCTTTAAGGGAGAAGGTGTGGCTTTCTCTCTCTACATCAGATGAAAGTGAGCTCCCCTGAATTAGATTCTTTCCTTATCAATTCCCTGATTATGTGACTACGTTTTAATACTTTGAAGGACAGGAGAAGCACTGAGAAGTTGTGTCCTATTTTCTGTATATGTTTTCCTTGTCCTGCTACATAAAGAAAAACTAAAATAAATTGAAATGTTCTTAGCTGGGTGGATCTGGCCTATCCACTAAGGGTTGGGTAATCGCAAATTGGCTTGAGCACCAGTCCAGCCTGGGTACTAAGTTCACTGCGATTTCTGCGGTGATATTTGGAAGGTTATGTTGAACTGTGGCTTGTGTGGAACACACACACTTTCTGTCACTTTGTATCATATCACTGCGGCACAGTGACAGTGTGTGTAGGGGGACACTCTCTCACTCAGCCTGATCCACCTGATTCTGCCACTCTTCCTGTAACAGTAAATACCAAATATGTTCAGACAGACTGTTGGGACAGTTTGCGGTGTAAGATATGACATGATTTGTAATCATTCTCATTGAGTCTACAATCCTTTCGTTGTTGATCATGAAGTCCTGATAACACCAAGTCACTCATTCCTCTTGTCTTTGGCTTCTTGTCAATACCTGTTACATACATATTGCTTTGAAAGACCATCAGATAATTTACTGGGCAAGGATAATAACTGGGCAAGGATAAAACCAGCAAGATAATTCCTGTATAGTAATCTGTCATTCGTTGTCAAAGGTAGTGAATGTTCAATCATTAATTAACAGGACAAATATTCCCACTCTGAGGTTTTCCAACCTAACACGAGGCGTTTTAAAATGCCAGGCGTGGAGCAGGATGGGTGTGAGTTGATACCAGCAGGGACAGCTGCAGGGGAAAAAGATAGTGAAAGTGGATGAATGCACAGATTTTCATTAGCAAGTCTCTCAAGTGCAAGGAATCCAAATAGCTGAAGTGGCTAGCATGCAGACTGAGCAGGATGCAGTGGGCAAACAGAGAAGCCAAATGGTGGGACACTTTCTTTATTCTAATAGCAACATGACTCCATCAAAGGGTTTTAGGCATGAGAGGGACAGCAACGCCTTTTCTGTTATTTGTTTGCTTGCTTTGTTACTTATTTGAAATGAAGACTAAGAAGGTTAGTGTCAA